TCCCATGTTGTAAATGCGTAAATATCCATTTTGTCCAGTTAGTAAGGCAGCAGGTACCACGAAGTATTTGTTGTTTAGGTCATGGACTCTCGGTGAAGTACAAACATCACAAGCAGGGCTGTTCCCCACAATATTAACTTCTACAAATATGGATTCCTGTGGTTGAATTTGAACGTCTGAACAGCTTGTTACTTTATATTTTCCAGAGAAACTATCATCGTACACATTATTTTCTTTCAATAGAGCTGAATTCTGAGTTGTGACGAGTGATATGCCTTCAGAGTTAATTACAGGTTGTCCGATCAGTATATCAACCTCGGCAGGCAGCTTCGTATGCGTCACCACTGCTGTGGTATTGAAACTCAGACCATCAATAGTCATTGTTAGATTTACTCGGCCCATAGCCGGCACTGTATTTCCAGTAAATCCTTTTAGCAATGCATCCGTTGGTCGTACGTCATAATTTAATATTTTAATTGCACTTAAGGATATTACATTTAACTGTGCTCCAGTATCCAAATAACCAGAAAAAATTCTTCCCGCTACCTCCACGCTTTTTTTATAAATATCATTTAAGTTTTGCACTAAATTTATCGACACGGATTGGCCCTTCGATTTATTCATCATATTTTCTATTTTGGGGCAACGATTTATATTATGTCCGGTTTCAGAACAAAATCTACACACTCTCCTATCCGGAACAGGGCAATCTTTAACCATATGCTCAGTAGAATTACATCTAAAGCAATTCATTCGCCGGGAGGTCGATGGTGGCCAGGGACGTGATGTGGTTGGTATGGCTAAATCAGAATTTCGCTTCTCCGCTTCTAATCTATTATTACGTGTATAACTTATGTTGGTCGATTCTACTTTTCTCAGATCCGGTTTATTTTTATAATTCTCAAAAGCGGACAAGTAACCTGAATAGAATTGTTCAGGCGTTTCACATTTAAATGCTTTTGCATTATTTTGTAAATCGTGTGGCAGCCCTTTAATTAAACAAGAGAGAGAGGCGGCGTCGTCAAGTCTACAGCGATGACACATTGCTAATTTATCATGATAATAATGTGTGATTGTTTCATTATGCAACTTTTTCCTGGATACTAATTCTTCTAACATGTCAGCATACTCGAAACTTCTAGGAAATGCTTTGATCAATAAAGATTTCCATTGATCCCAAGTATAATTATATTCGTCAAGACGACTAAACCATAACTGAGCTTGGCCTACAAGACGAGTTTGCATTATGACTATTTTAGAGTAGTCATCCCATTTGTGAACCATACCTAACTGATCAATTTTTGCCAACCAATTTTTAATATTAGTATCATAATTATCCGGATCAAACGTAGGTATAATTTTCTCACCCGAAACATTCCGCAACGGCCGTGAATCACCACAAAACTTTTCAACCATCTTTTCTAATTTATCGGTTAATAATTGCTCAAGTAACACATTAGGATGTATATCTTCTTCAGAATCACCGTGATTAGATGACCCATGACTATGTATTTGATCTATGTGTAACGTCCCAGCACTAGTCGCGATATCCGACTGAGATCTAGATTTTTTTGAGTTACTGTTTAAAAGGACACTGTTCCTATATTTTTTTGATCGCTTCATTTTAAGTTCTTTTATTAAAATCCCACTTCTGAATGTAAAATGAAACGTTTCTTATGCTTCAATACAATTTAATTCACTTGTACAATCAACTGTTCATTATACTTCAATACTTTCAATCACTTTAGTTTCATTTAATACTTTTAACACTCAAGTTATTATTCTCACAAGACCTGTCGCACACGCCGACGCTCGGATACATAGTGTCGTGTTTCGGCGCGCCCTGGTGGCGCCAGCCTGGTCGGCATTGCTCGCGTGATTCCGGCAACTACTCGTAACAATTTCTTAAAAAATAGTGACTATGGCAGCCGAAAATGTGACTACACATGAAATCAAAAGACTTGTTGCATCGTTGAGATGCGGCATTACTCGGTGAACAGATATACCCTCAAGCATAGAAGTATTAGGCTTAGAACCGCAGTAGGCGCACGCAAAGTGAAGCCATTTCAAGTTAGCCTTTAAAGGCTAAGTACGACTTTTGACGCGTTAGTACTCGAGTCCACGTAGTCGTGTAAACAGCTCGCACAATTTTTCAAAAAAATGTCGTACTGTTCTGTGAAAGGGTGTCACAACTCATCACATAATCACGAAAAAAATGTAAAAATCTCATTTCAAGGTTAAGTACTGCCTAGCATCTTATATTTTTATTAAAAACATTCATCAAAAGAAAATAATAAATAATAAATTTGACAGACGCCAATATAATGAAAATGTTGCTAGGCATAGTAAAATATTTTACCCCATTTTTTCTTATTATTATTATAATTATAAAAAAATGCATATTGAAAAAAATACATACATACTGCCAATAGTCTCATTCACATATAAATAGGAATGTTTATTTGCCAAATATTATTAGGGTCCCCATTTGCCATGAAAAAAAAAATATGTTATTTTATTTTATATTGATAATGTGCAGTTGTTTTTACCTTTTTATGGTATGTGTTTTAGGATAAATAACATACCCTATGATTATATTTTTTATTCTAATTTACATATATTTAACATTTTTAGTTCGATTCTTTTATGAATCTAAAAAAGATAACATTTCGAGGATAGCGTCATCAAAGCTGCAGTTGTTTAGAATGCAGTTGCAGTTTCAGGGTCATTAAGAGATATTTTTTAAGTACTTGAGTATATTTTATTTTATTTTATATTTTTAATAAACATTTTTAATGTCATGTTTTATATGAATAGCTATCTCCTTCCGAATCTTATTTTGTTTTAATGCAAAACATAATATCCAATAAAGTAATAATAACTAAAAGATTGATCACTGGTGATGAAAAGTGGATCAGTTACGACAAGAACGTGTAAAAAGATCATGATCAAAGGGAAGTCAAGCTCCACAGATTGTACCAAAATCCGGATTAACATGCAATAAGGTGATGCTCTTTTTATGGTAGGATTTGAAGGGCATCGTTTATTATGAGCTTTTACCGCCGGGCCAATAATCACTTGAAGCTGACCGCACTCTTAAGTCTCGTTATTCTTTCTAATATTATATCCATTCTGTGAAAGTTGTATGTTGTAACCTTAACGTTGAAACTGATTTAAATTAAATATATCACGTAGATTCTTAGAATGACAAGAATCGAGATTAGTGTATGCTTTAATATGCGGGTGAAGCCGCGGGCCACAGCCAAAGTTAGTAAGGAATAACTAATGAAACTAAAATGATTATCTGACAACTATTCACTTGTTAAATGTAAGTGGGACTGGATTGGAAAAACTGGCAGAAATAGAAGTAGGCATTTGCCTCCTCCCTTTCTTCCACTTCTCTATATATCATAGAATAAGGCCATTGAGTATTATATAAAGATTAATATTTATAAATGATATAAGATTTTATGAAAGATAAATAACCTATATTTATATAAATATATAAATATACCACTTCTAACAGAATAATATAATTACATAATAGTTTTGTGAATATAACACAAATATTACGTATATAAATAATTTAAATATTACACAAGTTAACAAAAATAAATAATGTTACATTTTTCTCTTTGCAAATAGTTAATAAATAATTATAAACGCAACCTAAATAATAATTCTATGACGATGTCTACTATTACATTTTCCCCACTTTTTGGGAAAAATGTCATTAACTTGCAAACATTACTCATTTTCTTGTGTGCGTGTGGGCAAACGTAATTACAGGCCGCTTATGCTCACATTCATTGTGTTGTTGCTTCAACTTTGAACGGAATTTTGAATGTCACTATCACTCTATGTGTAATTACTCTAAGCCCTCAAGCGTTGGAGTTGAACGTCTCTTTTCTATAGGCAAAGATATTTTAAAGCCAAAGCGAGTCTCACAATCAGACGAGAACTTTAACATATTATAATGTTTATGACAATTTGATTATGCCAGATGATTAATTACACACTCTAATTATACATGTTTTTTGCCCAGGTGGGAGTTATGACGTCACCGCGCTTTGTCTGACCGGCTGAATTTTGATGATAACATCGCGCAATTTAGGTGTCATTATCTCAGCCATTTTTTAAGATAGGATACTGGAATTTTCTCTAGTTTAATAATAAATACATAACTAAAATCGTTGGTTCTAGACATGGGATAATACAAGACGCGATTGCGTTGTATTATACTAAAGTTGAAAGAAAGTTCCACCTTATTATACGTCCCACTCCTGGGCATAGGCCTCCTCTCATTTCTCAGGGGGTTTTTAGGACAAGGAAATGTCCGGTGGGCTGCCCCAATGCGTGTTGACGAACTTCACATTTCTTCGATTTTTTTTCTTATTTCTCAGACATGCAGATTTCCTCACGATGTTTTCCTTCGCCAGAGAGCACGTGGTATATCAGCACTTAACATTGCAATTCCACGATACAGGAGATAATCCTAGTGTGTGGGTAACGTTTATCAAAAAGAGATTACAAAAAATGAATTTTACAGCGAGCGCTTAGCCCCTGAGTTACGACGGCTTACTGTTGTATTATACAACATGTAACAAAAATCCTGTGGTTCCCGTTAAGTGCGTTACCAGAGTCAGTATTCAAACCAACAGTATTCAAAAAGCAAAGACAACTTTTAAAAAAAAAACATGAACGTAAAAAAATTAATTTTAATTAAAAAAAATTGTATGTGGTTTTTTTGACGTTTGCATACTGACTCTGTTAACGCGCTTAAAGGGAACCACAGGGTTTTTGTTACACGTTGCATATCGGCAGATAATTATTTATTGGATTTTTATTATTAGTATTACTTGGCCAGGCGTGTTGCAACAAAGCAAATCTTAGCCTTATCGCGACAATGTGACCGCAGCAATTATAAAAAGAACAACCAAACTATTTTTATGGTCGATAATTCATTTTGACTTTAAATTTTAAATTCAATTTATTTTCAGTTATTCAACAAATCCCCATGAGTTGGTAGAGTTTTATAAATCTTATAAGAAAACTAGCGCTGCTGAAGAGGCTACCACACTTCTTACGGAACTTCAGGATCTTGTTATTTCTGTTAATTTGCCACAAGTAGCGACCGCGCACGAAATAAAATTGAAGAAAGGACAACAGGACATAACGACTGACCCTAAAAAGGTTCGTTTGTGTTAAACTAATTAGCAATACCAACAGCTTGTATCCCAGTTGTTACACGTGTCTTTTGAAAGTAGTAAAAATCAATTATTGTTAAAAGAGTAATTAACCTTCCTTGGAATCGGAATGAACAAATAGTGGGGTACATAAGCAGGGACTGATTTACGCACAGGCTAACTAGGCTGGAGCCTAGAACGCAAGGTTGGAGGGGGCGCTGAGCTTGCCTTTGCAAGCACCACTTATCCACATAATAAAATCTCATATAATATTCTCAATAAATAATTTAGTGCCGCAAGTATTGTACTTCTTGCTCTTTCTTTATTTTTGGTACAAAACAAATAAATAGATTGTAAAAATAAGACTGAATTATTTGGTGTCTTTCGTTGACTGGCTGGATGTGATTCAAAATTTTAAACTGTTCAAGCTCATTTCTCTACCTCTATTTTTATTAAAGTGTTTTGCCAAGGCTGTCTAAGGGAACTTCTGTCAGCCATCTGTTCCACCTCTGCACAGGTAGAAAGACTCACGGGCCTATGCCGCAAAGCAGAAATCGATCTTTTAAGTTCTTTTTTTGAGTCCAACTCGACTCTTGATGACGGGGGTACACACCGCCGACCATCCCGCGGTGTGATTGCTCTATGCTGAATGTGCAGTTTACACAGCGCTCAGTGTGCAAAGCACTTCTCTCCATGGACGTCAACAAGTCGAGTGGGCCTGATGAAGTCCCTCCTATTGTGCTTCAGAATTAACAACGGTTCTAAAACGTCTTTTCCCGTACTGCTACTCCCTATGCCTAATCCTGAACTTCTGGAAGGCAGCTTTAGTGCACCCGATCCATTAAAAAGGTGACCGCTCAGATCCATCCAACTACAGGCTTATCACCATCGCCTCCTTGTTCTCTAAAGTATTTTTTTTATCATTGAGGACCACCACCAAAGCGGTTACTAATCAGCTGATTCTAGTTCTAATCTTCTTATTTACCTGACTCATAAATGAGAGGAAGCTGTAGAGTCCAAGTACACATGAGACAGTATTTAAAGCCGGCCCAACGATTGCAACTTTACAAGGCGCAAGTTCGTTTTCACATGGAGTACTGTTCTCATCTCAGGGCCGGGACACCCCTGTGCCAGCTCCTTCCACTTGACCGCATCCAGCGAAGAGTGCCTCGAATCGTCGACGACCGAGTTATTTCTAATCGGCTCGATTCACTGGCGCTGCGAAGTGATGTTGCATCCCATTGTATTTTCTATCGCATTTTCCACGGGGAATATTAAGAAAAATTGTTAGGGAAATATTAATTCCAGCCGCCAAGTTTTAAGCGACGGCTACTAACTGGAAGCACTTGGGGAGGGGGCAGCGGGGAGTGAAATAAATAATTTATCTTAACTCTTCTTACAGATTGTTAAACTTGTAAAGAACATGATAACGGCAATAATTGAATTTATAGAGGAATTGGGGATTTATGGTGCCAACATAAGCATTCTTGCTTATATAATTCTTTTAGAGCAGTTGAAGCGTAGAGCTCTCTCTCCAGAAGAAGAATTGTTATACAAATTAACGATTACACATTTAGTTGAGTAAGTGTTTTCATTTATTTTAATAATAGTTTTCTATTAATTTTAATTTGGTTTTAGCAGACTTCAATAAAGGAGGATGGATGTATTCATTTCGACTGTATGCCTTTTTTTTAATGTTACGCGATCATCGTCATCATTACAGCCCTTCACAAGTCCACTGCTGAACATAGGCCTCCCCCAAGGAATGCCACAAAGCACGGTCCTGAGCCACCTGCATCCATCGACTTCCTGCATATCTTACTAGGTCTTCACTCCATCTAGTGGGCGGGACGCCCAACACTTCGCCTGCCGGTACGAGGCTGCCACTCGAGAACCTTTCTTCAATGTTACGCGATATCTTCATCAATTGTGAAAGGATCTTAATGTTCTTTTTTATTAAGTAGTTTAATACTTCTGTCTAATAAAATATTAAAGAAAATTTTACCCTTAATGATTTAAAAATAGGAATTTGAAGGTTTTTTCTTCAACTTAATAAAAAGTAAAAGCCCACTTGAAAGAACTAAAAAGAATATAATTTAATATTAAAAATTTTGTACAACCGACTTCAATATAAATTATTACGTATAACTCAAAAGCTATTGGTCAGATCTTGATCAAATTTATATGAGACCACATGAGAAGCACCAGCTTTCAAATAAAAAAGAATCATCGAAATCGGTTCACCCAGAAAAACGTTTATAGAAGTTTAAAGAATATACAGTCGAATTGAGTACAGTCTCCTTTTTGAAGTCGTTAGAAAATAATATCCACACAATTGCTTCTGAAGTACGTGTTTTTATTATTATATATGCTACTTCTTAGCGCCGAAATTATATTATTATTTTGACTATTTGAAGTCTGCTTTTTATTTAAAAAAAATTAACAATTAAATTGACTTGGTAGGTAGGTATATCTATTTAAAATGTAGGCCATGAGATACGTAATTCTGGCAATCCTATTATATGCAATAAATTGCGTCTCACGACATCCATAGAACCAAATGACTGATATATTCATTGGTAACTTCGTCATCATCATCATCATCATCATCATTACAGCCCTTCACAAGTCCACTGCTGAACATAGGCCTCCCCCAAGGAATGCCATAAAGCACGGTCCTGAGTCACCTGCATCCATCGACTTCCTGCATGTCTGTCTTACCAGGTCTTCATTCCATCTAGTGGCGGTATTCGTAACTTACACGGCATATATTAGAAGAAGTAATTTGTAAACTATAGTGATCTTTATTATACATAAAAATATTTTATTTTCAGAGTAAGAATGGTTTTATTAAACTCCATGAGACACGAAACTGGATATGAGAAAATCGTCAAACACTCATCGGACAAAGTCAATCAGTTGCTGAATATATTAACTGAATACAATCCTAATGTCCTTCGATCAAATGGTATGTCTAATATTCTTTATATATACAAATTAAGTGTAACATTGTTTGTCCACGATGAACTCTGAAACCACTACTGGTTTTAATGAAATTTTGTAAATGTGTGTTGCTTGCCCCAACTTGAGAGTTAGGATAGTTTTTATCCCGATAAGTGACCCTCAATAATTTTTATTGCGAATTTAAAGATTTTTTAAAGGAGAAAGGGTCGTCGGTAGGGCAGAACAGAATCTGTCTGGCCAACTAGTCTTCTCTATATATAAAAATCAATTGCTGTCCGTTAGTCTCGCTAAAACTCGAAACTGTTTTTTTTTATAAACTGGCTTTACGGCTCTGGTTTCTAGCCCTTCTGAGCCTAAACTCGAAACTGGCTCGATCGATTCTGATGAAATTTTGTGTTTGAGTGAGACCCTGGATGTTTTAGATTCACAATTGGAATAGTAAATTTTAATAACAGCAAAGTAGATTGTATAATATAGTTGTTGGGAAATTATAATAATTATTATTATTTGTCAGAATAGGCATATACAATGCAATTAATTACTCAACTGCAGGTTGCATAACTTTGTTACCGGCTGAAACCGAACTTGCTTGGCTTGCTTACATTTTCTATGAAATTATAAGGCAAAGCCTTAGCTGTTATGAACATTTAAGTTATCATGGCTTGGTTTTAAATGTAGATTTATAACTTATTCTATTTTTATATATTGAATTTTTATACTTTTTTAATCGGTAATAGGGGTCCTTTTTGTTAGTATGGGTAGTTACCATTCTATTACACCATACACACATTTTAATTTTCGGTTTGAAGAATAAGTCATCTTAGTCTTTGGACTTGACAAACACACATACAGAAGTGTTATATATATAAAAATAATAGATATACTCACAGGCACAAAAAACCGGCCATCACATATTTTTTAAATATTTCCAAAAATTGCGAAAAATAGACTTCATTTTTGTTTCCGTGTTTTAGAGAATTTTTTATGAAAAAATTACTAACCGGAAACTAAGTGTTTTTTTTTTTACAAAAAACAGTATTGAAAAAAAAAACAATTTTTGATAAAAACATTTTTCATTCTTCCAATTGAATAATGGATGTTACCTTCACTGGCTCTAATGACTTCTTGTAGCCGGTTTGGTAGCCTATCAATAATATCCTGGATATCAGATTGAGGAATGTTGTGACATTCCTCTACTGCAGATGCTTTCAACTCTCGTATGGTGGCACGAGCTGATATCCTGGCTTTAATGCGTTTTTTGAGGTTGTCCCATATGTGTTCTGTTGGGTTGAGGTCGGGACTGCGTGCGGGCCATGGCAATGTTTGAATTCCGACCTCATTTAGGTATTCAGTAACACTGGGCCGTATGGCCAATAAAAGGGGCAAAAGGAATGACATGTTTTTGCAAAACCTCTTCGACGTATCTGTGAGCATTTACAGCACCTCTTTCAATGATAACGAGGTCGGTACGAGCCTCGTAACTGATGCCTCCCCATATCATAATTGAGCCTCCTTGATATCCCACCGTTTCCACTATTGCACACGGAGCAAACCTCTCGTTTGTGCGTCTATACACACGCTGGCGTCCAACAGGACCTCTTAAAGCAATTCTGCTTTCATCTGAGAACAAAACATTCTTCCATTCCTGCATTGCATGTGCATCCAGTTAGTATGATCACTCGCGAAACGTAACCTGGCTGGTCTATGCGACCTGAGGAGTTCTGGAGCGCGGGCTGGATGAAATGCTCTCAGATCTCTCGTTTTGACTTCAATCAGACGATTTTGAACCTCAGCCGCTGTATGAAAGCGATCTCGTAACACATTACTGACAATAAAACGATCGTCCCTAGATGATGTGCATCGATGTCGCCCGTGACCGGGTCTCAGTGTGTAACGACCGGTCTCGAGATACTGCTGGATGGCGTCTCGTCTCGTTGTACGCGATACACCAAGTGTTCGTGCAATTCGCCGCTGGCTGTACCCCTTATCAGTTACAACTATAGCTCTAGCATTTTTAAGCACAATACACTAAAAATTTACCTTAAGAATTTGACTTCAGCCATTTTAACTGATAAGGATAACAATTTAAAGAATTTTAAGCCTCCAATATACCGATACCAAATAATGCCAACGGTAGGCTAATCTTTAAAATGGTGTTAAAACCACAAGATAAAACAAAAAAAACAGGGTAGATTTGTTTAATTGGTTTCCAAAATGTACCCAAATAGTAATCATGAAATGTATAAACTTACAAAAAAAAAAGTGCCATTTAAGAAGGGTGGGCGGTTAATTGTGCCTGTGAGAATAATTTCCACGAGAAACTGTTGTATACATTATAGCATAGTGATTAATCATAATTTCACAGCTCCGTGGCGCAATGGCTTAGCGATGAGTTGTTGCGCTGGGGGCCGCGGGTTCGAACCCCGCACGGAACAAGTATTTGTATGGCCTACAAATAATTGTTCCGGGTCTGGATGTTTGTCCTCGTGCAATTTATGTTTGTAAACTGCCTCCACGACACTGGAGAAAATCCTAGTGTGGGGTTAACGATTTTTAAGAATATAAAAAATTACTTTTTGTTTGCCGTAATCGTCAAATAATTAAAGTTATTATAATATTATTATTTCAGCTCCATTAAAAGTAAACCTATCAAGAAAACCATTATCTGCAATTATTTTCACTAAAAAAAGATTTACTGCAAAGGTCCTGTATAACTTACTAAAAGACGTAATTGATGTAAATCCTCAGACATTTGGCTTTTTGAAGCACGATTTTATCGTAGGCTTTAATATAAATCCATATAACAACACAAGAGAGCAATATTTTACAAAGAAACAAAGTCAGCAGGGGCTTTTAAAGTTTGCTAACAAGTAAGTTTTTAACATTTTTCATTTTGTTTTTTATATAAGTAAGGATGACAAACGACCATAGCTCAGCTGATGGTAAGTAGATGCCATAGCCTGTTAACGCCTTTTTTTTCTTTTTTACATGGGGAAATGCCTACGCATACCCGCCTCGCGGGGGCAAGGACAGGTTATGTCGGACTTGCATCGACTAAATCCCCATGGTGTTCCACGTTCGTCGTATGTTGGCAGGGCCACGGGAACGCTTTCGCACACATCCGCAGCCCCACCAGCGTTGGCCGCCCCATAGCTGCCCCTCCACGAGAGACGACCACTCCTCCCCCATCTCCCTACAAGGCAAGACGCACCAGAATACATAGCGCGCCCTCCTCCGTGGCCTCCAACTTCACACGTGCAACAGACCCCCCGTGTCCGATGCGCGAAAGCCATGGTGCCAGGAGAAACCAGCACTCAGGAGCACCAGCCTTCCTGACCCCAGCGGCGGATCTGGTCCATGGCTTCGCCGCCAACCAATATTCGGCTGCGGAGGTTAGGGAGACCGGCGCCTCGCAATACCGACAACCCCCGCCCCCCTCCCTCCGTAACCCCACCACCGCATCAATTAACGGTGAGGCCCCGTCAGAGTCGCGGAGGACAGGGCGAGTGATGCATCGCCACACCTACACTTCTCCTCCCCGCAACTCCACCTCGGCTGCAGCGGTAAGGGGAGAGGGCACCCCTCTCGCCGCAGCCCACCAACACACATCTGAAGTGGGCCCGAAGCCCACTCGCAGCGGCCATCTCGGGCCGGTCCCACACTACGGGCCAGCCAAGGGGTTCTTCTTTGTTCATCGTGAGTGATCAAGCCACGGTTATTAAGCCCTCCCCCCCCCCCCCCCCCAACGACAAGGCGGGAACCCGTTCGGGGGGGAGCCTGTTAACACCTACTCTATCCATGATTAAGTTCAAAATTCTGGTGGCTAGGATGGAATTTCTCTTTTACAAATGGGTCTCCGGCTTTCGGTACTCAACACAGCAGCATTGCTATTATTTTACAAAACAGCAGAATTTTGCTACTATTTTACTCTGGTATTTTAAAAACGTGGCCCTATGCCAGTTAAATCGCCCGATTCGTGAAGTAGCGTGGCTCTACCACGTAGGATAATTCTCAGTATATTATTATATTTCAGTATATATTTATAGATTATATTTCGATTGTTTTGATTATCACCAGCCCGTAAAATTCCACGGCTGTACGTAGGCCTCTCAAATTGTAGCGATATAAATTTTACGTCTGGTTTGGTTTACTTGTTACTACATTATGTTCGGCAGCGAGGTAAATACTGTAAGTAAAACTAGATATTTGAGAAATTATAGAAAATCGAAGATATGTGAAGTCCGCAATCACGTATTGGGGCATTGCGCCGAACTCTATCCTTCCCTCAAACCCTCTCAGAAGTTAGTGGAAGTCTTTGTCCAGTTGCCGTCTCAGAAATGCGTATCGCATTGTATTGAACTAACGAATATAGGGTATTTCTATGATTTGTGGCAAGTTGTATAGCACCTGCTGGTAAGTGGTGATATAGCCTAAGATGGTGAAGCGCACTGACTTAAGAAAAGCTTATATGTACTCTTGCCTTAAAGAAACCCACATTGTACTCGGATGGAAAGGTATGACAAACGATGTAGCAAACCGTTTGGTTCGAAAGTCAACAACGAAAGGGAACGAACGTCTAGTTGCCCGATGGTGGAAGGGAGGGGGAGGAATTAAGTTATGCAACTCCTGCGCACACTCAGAAATGCATCCGATAGAAAACCGAAGGGCTGGCTACTTTGTGCCTATGTACGAGGCTGGTATTGGTTTTAATCAGATTCAAGTCACCAATATATGGATCTTCTATGAATCTTAAAAAATATATTATGTAGATTTTTTATTATATCTACGAGTATGTTTATTTTTTTATTCTTAAATATAAACACCTTAAAATCATTACATTGGACGGACTCATTGCGATATTGTGGAATTACCTGCCAGTTAACTCTGGAAGACAAGTTAAAATTCAGATAAACAAATATTGATATACAGGATAATTTGTAATTTACTGAAGACCGAATATATTTGCGAATATATTATTTACATCATAACAACAACATCTGTAAGAAAAAAAATTATATTTCTTCAATTTTTATTTTCATACATAAATAAAAATATTTTAATTGGACCTTCTAAACGGTAATAGTCTTAGTTAGCAAAACAAAGCACGTGGCTGGGTAGGGGTTGGGTTGACCTAATTACCTTTGTCGTCAGTCGCCTTTGGTGCGCCTGCGACGTTTCTCCTTCCATTGTGAGATTAATATTGTGAATTACCTTGTTACAATGGCTTATCGATACTCAAATGTTGAGTATACCGAAATGGTGCGAATTTTAGCAATTTGCAGTGATAACGTTAGTGAAGCATGCCGTGAATAAAAAAGGAAAATTTTCTTTGACGATTTATTCTGAAATTGTTTAGGTACTACAAAATACAGATTTAAAAGGAGTCAGACATGACAACAAAAACTTAAAAGTAGTTTTTTCGTAAATGTATTATATTCTGTAAAGAGTGATCTCGCTAAAATTATTTGTAATGATATGCAACCAATATATTCGCAAAAGGTTTTTAGTAAATTAAAAATGACGCTGTATAAAAGAAATTGTTGGCACAGATAATGTCTGTGTTTATGTAATCAAAATCACTTACTAATTTAAACTTTAATATAATTCTCTTGTCTTTTTAGAGATCTCAACTGTCTTATATCAACAAGTGTTATAGAAGAGGGCATTGACATCCCTCAATGTCTTTTAGTGTTGCGGTTTGATCCACCTTTAGAATACAGATCGTACATACAAAGCAAAGGTATCTTTTTTTTAAGTTACGCTTATTTACTATTTAATAATACAGTAGAGCGTATGACGTTTACTATGTAGTGGCAGTGTAAGAATATTCACTACTCCATATCAATCCATTAGTGTCGTAAAAGTCGACAAAGGGACCAGCATTTTCCTGGTAACAACTTAGAAAAAAAAACTGCGGTTGCTAACCCGCCTGCCAAGCGTAGCTATTATAGCAAATTGCCCCCTATGAGGCAATCTCTATAGAATGCCTCACAGGTGTCAAGAAAAGTAGGCCTGTGTTAGGCTGTGGACTTTTATTGGCTATAATGGATAAATGGAATGGATGGTATGACGTTTATGTTGTATATGCCGTGTGACGATGGCGTTAGGAAATCCACCACCTCATTACGTCCCATAGGTTTCATTAGAGGCGACTATGGGTAATGCCAGGTAGATCTTACAGCCTCCGATAGATGGCGATAAAATGAACACATTTACGCCTTAATAAAGTTACCCAGACCGTTGAAAGGAAAGCACACTGCTCCTTGACAATTAAATTTTAACATTTTAAATCGTGTTCATGTTGTATATGTGCTTACGTGACAAAAAATAAAGTTAAAAACGTTTTCGTCAGACCAAAAATTTGTTCATAATCCGATCACGAGGGCTCCATGCTGTTTTTTTTTTTAAATTATATTTATTTCAGGTCGCGCAAGGAATGCGGAATCTGCCTTTGTTATATTAATAGAAGAGAAAAATAAAGTAAAGTTTATGAACCAATATAAGGTATTCCAGAAAGTCGAAGAATACATACAAAAGGTAGAATATTTAAATAAACCGTAAATCTTTACTTATAAATGAGACCGTTGTATTATGATCCAATTTGAGTTTTTATATTGAGAGTTTGATTTGGTTTTGTCGTCTTCTATAAACCTAATTTTCTATGTTCTTTAAATTGATGTTTAACTTTTCTTTAAAATTATAGCCAGAGGTAACATTTCATCAAATTGCATTACAATACAGCCCTTCACAAATCCATTGCTGAACATAGGCCTTCCCCAAAGAATGCCACAAAGGACGGTCCTGAGCCACCTGCATCCATCGACTTCATACATGTTTTATCAACTCGTCACTCCATCATCTAGTTTTGCCTACCGCTAGGAGGCTGCCACTCGAGAACCTTTATTCTCCATCGGTTGTCGGTTCTTCGAGCTATATTGCCGACCCATTTTCACTTTAGCTTAATAATCCGTTGGGCTATATCGGCTCCTTTGGTTCTACAGCAGATATCCTCACGTCTAAGTTTATCACGCAGAGAAACCCCGAGCATAGCCCTCTACATAGCTCGCTGATCGACCTTGAACTTCCTCATACGGAAAACAGTGTCATTGAACATAGTGTTTAGGTCCTCTAGTGATTCTGCCAAAAGGATTGTATCGTCGGTAAATCGAAGGTGAGCGATATACTCGCCACTGATGTTAATACCATATCCTTTCCAGTCCAGTATCTTGAAAACGTCTTCCAATGCAGCGGTGAAAAGTTTCGGGGTTATAAAGTCACCCTGTCTTACACCTCCCTGCAGTAAGATATGTTCCGTACTCTGGTTCTGTACTCGAATAGCTATCGTAGCCCTACTGTACAAACACTTCAGCACTTCCATATACCGACAATCAACTTGGCACCGCTGAAGGGACTGTAGCACCGCCCAAATTTTGACGCAATCTAAGGCTTTCTCATGGTCCACATACGCAAAGTGGCAGATTGTACTCCTCGGTCTTCTGTACAATTTGCCGCAGGGTATGTATGTGGTCTCTGGTGCTAAAGCCTTTTCTGAAACTAGCTTGTTCGGAAGGCTGAAAGTCGTCGAATCTGCGTGCGAGGCGATTCGCAATGACTCTCGAAAACAGCACATAGATGCGGCTCAAAAGGGAAATCGTTGTGTAGTTCTTCAAGAGGGCGTTGTCTTCGTCGAACAAAACCTCACTAACTGCAATACCACAATACTTAGAACAATGAATTAAAATAACAAGAGCATTGATTTATCCTATGGACGCAACATAAACATTTTTGATAGTCTCGAATCTCGCGCTCGCGACACCTATATAATTCACTCCTTTTCACGCTAGTGTTGTTAAACTTTAAAGCAACTTGATTATAAAAAGCGCATCATAAGAAAAAATTGTGCTTGTTAAATTGTTGAACGTTGTTTCGAATGAAACTTCTATGAATGAACGAAAGAGTAACATTTTTTCTGTGGATGTTATTTAAACTAGTACGAACTTTGGTACTGATTCTAGTATTAACGTTAATACTGTAACAAACTTAGATCTCATAGTCCTGTTTTAAACCAGTCCTAAAGCAAAGTAGTAGAGCCACACTACAGCTATATTATGGTTACAGCACGAATGGGTCGGCTCGACCGGGGTAACACGGGGGGGGACCATGTTCTCACAGAATACCAACGTAAAATAGGACTTAATGCGGCTGTGTTTCGTATGGTGAGTGTAGAGAACCGAAGACCCTTTTTACTGGAAATGAGGCATTCCATCTTAGTTTTCATGGGTGACAACGCATCTACATTTTGGTTTTTAATGGAGCATAAACATATATGTCTATGGGCCACAGCATCCACTTACCATCACATGGACTGTGTGCTTGTTTGTCACAGCATTTTATAAAAAAACGCAGGATTTCTCATGATGTTTTCCTTCACTGTTGAGCACGTGGTATATCAACACTTAAAATTGCAAATGACAATTTCATTGGTGTCGGCGAGTACTCGCCGTTCGCGTACTCTGAAATTTAGGGCAAGCGCTGAGCCAATGAGCTCCATGACTCATTTCTTCGTTGATATTTTATGTTTATGTCAGCATGTTTCTTTGCTACTTTATCCGGCTCATTTTCAATGTTTATACCAGTGAAGCATTGGAATAATCTAAAACGATTTGATTTATTTACAGATGTTAATAGGCAAGGCGGATTTAAGAGATGCGCCCACAGAAGAAGACATTCAGAAAAACCTATATGAAGACGAAGAAATACCACCCTATGTTACGGAATATGGCAGTATGTATGACCAAGCAAATCACTTATTACTATATATATTATTATTATATACAGACGACCGCGTGGCGCAGTGGTTAGAGATTACTCTGCTGCACCTGGATTTGAATATTGGAGTCAATGTTTCTATTAAAATACAAATAACTGATTAATGGATCTAGTTTATATAATTGTTCCCGTGTATTAACAATACATCCTATTACGGCAAAAGTAGGTTAGGACATGTATGCCCCTGTGTCATTGAGTGAGTGCATGCAGTTGCGGTACTGTAACGGTACTATAGCTAGGGGGAGAAAGAATGATTCCTTCTTCAAATCTCTTTTATCCATGTTAAACGGAATAGTTTGTGACTCACCTGATGTTAAGTGCGGACAGTCCCCATGAACGGAGTAGCGCTGCACGCTAATTGCTCTATAACCCCTTAAGTCAGAATTGAGAGGAGACCTGTGATTAGCAGTGGAACGTATATAATCTGTAACTATTTTAGGAAAATTTACCTTGTCTTTTATTGCCAACAGACCGCTTGTCAAGTATATCAGCTATAAGTTTACTCAGCCGTTACTGCTCAATATTGCCACACGATCAATTCACCCTCATTACGCCGATGTGGATTCAAGAAAAGGTATTAAACCGAACCGGTGAAGTGGACCGAAAGATTACCATATTAATGCCTCTGAGTTGCCCGTTAAAGGACCCAATTATGGTGATTATACATTTTATACTATAACTGTTTAATTTTATTGATAGTGAACATCAACACTAGTATTTTATGATACAATTTTGTTATTCCTAATTGTAGATATCTAGTTGGATACTAAAAAAGTATTGACTTTATTTTATTCATATATACTTAGGAAAATATTTAAAAATTAGGGAGGAATAGTATTCATATTATATAATATATTCATACAGTTAAACCTACTAAAAATTCACTACTGAACATAGGCGCCCCCATAAATTGCTTCAAACTTGTCATACTTGCCACACTTGACAGGCAAGTTGACAACCGCAGCGTTATAACATTGATTTATAAGTATTACATGAGTACGAGTTATTTAGTTACAGAGTTATTAAGGTATTAAGTTATATGAAACTCTCCTTTCATAAATATACAAATTAAATGAAGTCATAACGTATGTAAAACAATGAAGGCGCAGTTTTTTCATTTCCTATTCGATGAGGCCGTTACTCTCGTATTCACTAGGCACTGAACTTTTTAGGCTCTTTGGATCCTGGCCACACCACATTTTGTTCCGCGTAACGATTTCCCTTGTTGCGACATAAATTAAACCTAACTTTGAGATTACACAAACAACTTCACTTCGGTTAATATAACCCTCTTCCATGCAATGAAAAATCTACAGATGAGGTTATTTCACTGGCTTCCTATAGTATAATCCTTCATCATACAAATCTCGACGAATAGCGTGCGCTGAGCTGCATATCGAATATATTGTCGAACATACAAACACAAATCGGTATGAAGCCATTTGTTTTGTATAGTTCGACAACGAATCTCGCTGTAACCCAATATGCTGCAGGTTTGCATTAGGTTACCCAAAATATTCATCTTATTACAAATTTGAGATATAGTATACACATATATCAGATAATATATTTGCAATTTGATAATACGCAATTTCTCCTGAATATTATTAGTAGCCTGCATAATTATATTGTTTTTTTTTTTTTATAGAATAAGGGTTACGAATGAGCACACAGTTCACCTGATGGTAGTCGATGCTGTGGTTCATAGACATTTACATTTATCTTCAACTAGCTGGCCAGGCAGACGTCATACTGCCCTCTCCGACTTTGTCCTATAAAAATCCTTAAATTAACAATAAAAAATATTGAGGGTTACTTAACGGGATAAGAACTATCCTGTCTCTCAAGTTGGACCAAACTGCACACAGTGTGCAAATTTCATTGTAATCAGTTCAATAGTTTAAGAGTTCATCCTGCGATGTCCGCACAAACAATATAACACTTAATTTTTATATATCTTCAATTAGGAACCATGCTGATGTGTTGTCGCCCCTTAGGACTAAGATGAAACTAAAAACGGTCTCCGGTTCTCCACATTCACTATACGAAACACAGTAGCATTCTTCAACTATTTTACGCTGGCATTCCGAGAGAGCGATGTCCTAACATAATTTTTTTTTTTAAATCGTTACTCCCACACTAAGATTTTCTCCTGTATCGTGGAGGCAGTTTACAAACACAAATTGCACAAGCACAAACATCCAGACCCGGAACAATTATTTGTAGGCCATACAAATACTTGTTCCGTGCGGGATTCGAACCCGCGGCTCCCAGCGCAACAACTCATTGCTAAGCCACTGCGCCACAGAGCCGATAATACAGTTGCAGCGTGGCTCTATCACGTAAAATGGTTTATTACGCGAAACACTGGCACCCTTGAACGGAAGACAAAGTCAAATATTTTTTATAAGTTGCGAATCTGAGCGTTTCCTATTATGCCATTAAAGCTATAACATAACATATACGTTAAATGTGAATCAATTGTAAACAAATCCGTACATTTCCAATCCCGTCCAGCAAACGGTTACCTTTATGGTACCTCAAAGCTTGGTTTGTTTAAAAACATTTTCAGACGGAGCTTGCATTAATAATACAAAGTACTATCAAATTGTTAACTTGTTTCTTTATCCGTCATATAGTGTTTAATTTGATTATGTGTTTTGTGTTACCAATTGCAATTGAAGCATCAATAATCAATTTTTGATCTCAATTAGTGTGTAATTTCGACAATTTTTTCCTAATAAAAAATTACATCTTTTTACATTGCATTTTAAGGGCGATCCAATGTCAGATTTGAAAACTGCTAAGCGTTCTGCAGCGCTGAAAGCTTGCATAAAATTGCATCAAATAGAAGAATTAGATCGGATAACGCTGTTACCAAGGAAATATGGGTATGTGAACTATTTATCAAAATCAGTTTTTGCACGGCGATCCACCGCTTAACAAGTTACGTTAATTGCTACTGTCATTTAATATATTATACTTTTTCACTTTTATATATCTATACTATATTAAAACTAACACGACGTCTGTCTGAACTCGCATGAGGCAAAATGTTATAAGGAGTAACTTACTACTAACTGGCTTCTTTTACTTTAGGAAAATAATTAGGGTTCCGCGCAAAAAACTTCCACACTGGCGAAGTCGCGGGGAACAGCTGGTACTTAAAAAGTATGGTTTGCAAGGAAAATTATTTTGTATACATTTTTTTCAACGAAACCACGAAAACGGCGAGGTAAATTCGCATAGATTGTTTTGTTTCACCAAGATAACGTTCCGGCTTAAATGTCCGCCGTTGCGATGGTTGCAACTTTAAATGTTAATATTAACCATATCTTGCCACTAGTTTTCTATCTATTCTCAAGATTGATAAAGTATTTGAGAGGACAGAGACTTAAAGACGATGAATCAGTAGTCGCTACAGTATTTTTAGTGTTAGGGTTGAATAGTTCTTTACGAAAGGAGTTTTAAGCTTAGAAAAAAGACATTTCTAGTGTATTACGTTTATCCACGTGTAGCAGCGGCCAAAGGAAATCCACCATCACATCATAGCGTAAATGTCGTAAGAGACGATAGAGCAAAATGAAACAGGACATGGGCAGCAACATATCTCTAATAACAACTCAAAATAATTTAAAAAACTGCAGTTGCCAACCCACCTATTAAGCGGGGCAACTATGGCAAATAGTTAATTGTATATAATGGGCAATCTATGGGGAAGGCACATGTTCTGCAATGGACTTTGACCACTTTGACGGCTCCGTGGCGCAGTGACTTAGCAATGAATTATTGCGCTGGGGGCCGCGGGTTAGAATCCCGCACGGAACAAGTATTTGTATGGTTTACAAATAATTGTTCCGGGTCTAGATGTTTGTCCTTGTGCAGTTTGTGTTTGTAAACTGCCTCCGCGATACAGGAGAAAATCCTAGTGTGGGGGTAACGTTTTTTATAAAGAGAGAAAAAGAGACTTGATAGGCTGTATTGATGGTGACGATAATAAACACTAAAGGTAAACTATATTGAAAATAAATAAATAATTCATTTTATAATAATATTTTCACAAAAATCCTGTAAGCCCTTATCATTATCATTCTCACTTTTTATTGTACGCCTTCAGCATTTTACTCTTATATCTTCCTGTATAAGCTCTCTTACTCTTAAAATACCTAGGCAGTTGAGTTGTTTCTCATAGTCATAAATTGTTCTATTGGCAGTCGAGTCAACTTACGCACAACTTTCACTAACTAGGTTTATTTTCATACAATTAAGAAATGGACACAAAGCCGTCTGTTAGTACTCGGTAAAGAATCAAAATGCAGTTGCGTTATCACCACTAGGGACTAAGATGGATTGCCACATGGTATTATGAGAATCGGAGGCCCTTTTTATTTACCAATAAAAAGGGTCTCCGATTCTCGTCACAAATCATTAAAAAAAATCAGCAGCATTATGCTCATATTTTACGTTTCTAATAAAATCTTTTTTAAATCTTGAAAACAGAGAATTTAGTTTTGATTGAATTCGTAATTTTGTTACAGCAAAGTCGATTTCGACCTACCTGATGTTAAACAGTGTTTCCTTAATTGGCCCTGGGAAAAGGATGAAGATGAATCAGCAGATGCACCACCAGTCGGTACTAAAAAAAGAGTACGGAAGCATATGAAAGTGGTACGTAACTTATAAAAGCCTTTAAAATTTAAATTGTTGGTCATAGGCTTTTTAGAAGTGCAGACCTGCCACGCTTATACTAATACTTCTATTTACATACCTTAAGTACTACGACCTCGATCTCACGGCCCTCTTCCACTATTTTTATTGACTGTCCGCGCCACTTGCAACTATCGCCTAACGCTTGTGAGATTCGTCAATTGTTATCCAATAACCAATAAGAGATAATTAATATTATCCATCAATGACTGTTACTTTTTATTAACTTTATTAAACAAGGAATATATATTAACGCTCTTATTAAATTAAACCATAATTGAGAAAATAAACCTTCAAAATTTTAATTACTGAAGTATATAAATTAAAAGATTAAAATCATTTAATTTATGTACTTAACTAATTAAACCTCAAACTAAAAAAGTTTGTTTATTGAATACTTGTACTATTATGTCGATGTTTTGCTAAGTATAAGTTGTTCCACATATCATTAATTTCATATTGTGACAATATTTGTTCTACTTTCCTTAAAATAAATGAAATTATAACCATAAAATAGCGGCGTGTCATGTCGCTGTCGAGAAAATTGACATTTACACTAAATTTAATCTAAATGTCAATTGTCGCGATTAGATCTTAGAGAGCGAAGTTGACAATAAACCATATCCTGTTCTTAAGAGTATGTAACCGATTTGCATTGAAAACTTCATGTTTTAGGGTTTTTTCAAGGGCAATATCGTAAAGATATGAACAGATTTATATTATTATTATTAAGTGCACTACTTAGTCAAAGTTTTAGTGAGATTTTTCAGGTTAAATACAATGATTGTAATAAGCTAAAATACCTTATTTTCCGAAAATTAAAAAAAGAAAGCATCGGGGCAGTTATGGTAAAAAGTTTGCAACAAAAACTGTATATCTGTTGTCGGTGAAAACAAACCCTTATAAGTCTACGTCTCTGCCTAAGCAGTTCATAAAATTAAAAGATAGTGCAAGGAATGGCGTAGTAAATAAGATGTAGACTGCCCGCAGATATTGAAGGAATATAATAAGCACATGGGAGGGGTGGACCTTGCGGATATGCTTTACTCTTTATACTAGCTGTTACATAGGAATCTTCGCTCGTTTGATAGATATTTTATACGTGGTAGAGCCATGCTGCAGCTATATTAGTAGTATAGTTAGCTCACGGGTGACGCATCTGCATTTTGATTCGCAAAAAAAAAAGATATTTGTATCAACAATGCTTGACTTTTATACAGACAGGACCATGCCAAAATACCCTCCCAGGATCCAACGCCATTGAAAAATTTCCGGTTTGATTTACGCTGTTCTAGAGTGATGGTGTAGATTTTGACTTACACAATTAATTAACGTAAGTGCACAGTGTTTAGAATTGATTAAATTCTATTGGGCATTGGTGGCGCCGCTGGTTGGTCTTATTACCGGTTGTTCAATGCGTAAGAGAATCCATCACTCCATTGCGTTTCGAAGGGGTCGTAAGAGGTGACTATGAAAAGTGCCAGAAGGATCTAATGGCCTTCGATAGATGAGAGACATCTAGTTATGTGATTGGCAATCCGCTAGTAAAGAAACACTCCAGGAAATCTTATTTGCTGCAGTGCTATATTTCTACTATCGAAAAAAAAATACTGTAAAAGTATTAGATATTTGCTAGCGTGAATTTATTGTCATGCATTCCTTTTGGAATTCTCAATTAAAATTAATGTCACATAATAAAACCATCATTTTATTTTTAAAAACTGATTGTTCATTTGTTTTCCCGCTGTTTTTTAATTGTCAGTGACTATGGAAAAGACTTTATCATCGATCAGTGGTACGCATAACAAAGGATACTTGAGGATAGCATCTATACCACTTACATCCATATAGTTTTCCAGAACGTAATAAAGTCACCCGGTATATTAATTCATACAATTAACAATAAGATGAAACATACAGTTTTATTTTTTCAGTGTCCAGAAGCTTTAAATGGTCCAAGTAATTTAAATTGGGACCAACACACATTCTATCTTCACATCATAGAGTTAAAAACAGCTTTCGATGAACCAACGGACTCCCGCGAGCGCGCATTATATAATCTTCTTCAAAAAGGAGAGGGCTATGGATTCCTGACTGCACAACCTTTGCCCAAAATATGCGATTTCCCAATGTTTCTTTCAGTGGGCGAAGTGATGACTTCAATTAAACTTAATTACGCTGTCATTCCGTTAGATTTGGAGTTGTTCGAGTGTGTTAAACGGTAAGTTCTTTTAATTTTTTGCAGTATTTCTTTATCTTTTCTTCAGTACCCATATTACTTCTTCCAGTTAACGGTCTGTTATCAATAATAAAAAGTAAATACGAATAATAAAGATTTTAATGATGATTAATAATGTGTAGATAGATTGAATTTTGCTCCGATGTTCGCAAGGGATGCATTTAAGAATTTTTTTTCTAAATAAAGGGCTGAAGCTAGATTCCCACTGTGAGATGAGTTTATAAAAAAAAAAATGAATCAGACGCTTTGTTTTCTTAGAAATTGCCGTAGAATCGCTACTATTCGGTAAAAAACCGGCCAAGTGCGAGGCGGACTCGCGCACTGAGGGTTCCGAACAAATCCGTAGGTTAAAATTATTAAAAATGTTTTTATTACATGATGTAACTAAAAATTTATGCTTTTCACAATTTTTCCTTATCTGTGCTATAATACGTTGCTTCGTACCAAATTTTAAGATTCTGAGTTCACGGGAAGTACCCTGTAGGTTTTGATTCCCTTGCGGCATAATATTTGCGGCATAAACGGCTGTATCTTTTGATTGCGTTGGCTTAGAAGTTTGATTTTTTCACATCTTCAAGGGACAGTAGACTTGAGTATTTGATATGAATTTCAGCTTGATACCTCCACGCGTTCCTGAGAAAAAGGGTCTTGACAGACAGACAGACAGACAGACAGACGGACAACAAAGTGATCCTATAAGGGTTCCGTTTTTTCCTTTTGAGGTACGGAACCCTAAAAAGATACAGTAACAATAATAAAAAAAAGTTAGAAAATGGGTGTTTCTTTTTATATAAACTGCTGGTTTGAGCAGTAATGATTTATTTTGGCTGCATAATTTTTAGGATTGTGAAAATAAAAGTTAAGTCATCACGTTGCCTGGTCCCGCACAGACCAGTGCTGTGTCCAGGGTCTTGACAAAGAGCGAGCCCAACTTCTTTATATTAGATATCTGGCATTCAAAAGCATGATAATAGGAATACCGGCATTTACTGAAACCCATAAGAACTTTCTAAAAGTCTTCGTGTACTTCGTGTACTAAATATCTTCGTTGAAGATATTTATTACATAGGTACTGAAAATTGACAAAAGATATTTGAGTACACTAGTAGTTATACATTAAAATAATTAAGACAATTACATATTCAATGTGCTTATTTGTTGATACTCGGTATGTCGGTTGATAGTAATTCAACTCTTAGGTTCCATTATTAAATTGTTTTATGTTTTTTTACTATATATTCTACATGTTGTGTAAATGATGTGATGGTTGTTTCTTTGGATACTACTTCTTCTAATTTGTATGGATTAATTTTAAGCATTGTTGAAGCAATTTTATGATTTATTATTGTTTCAATTTACGACATTCCATGACATTGAATCACTGTATAGTAATACTGTCGCATGGGCAACTGTCGTTTTCATTATTTTGAATCTATATAAATACTCTTTGTGAAATCCATGATTGTTTAAAATCTGTATGTTATACAAAAATCTGTGTGTTATATAAAAGTTTGGTCTAAGATTTTTAAGCACTTTTTGAAGGGATTCGTATGTCGGGCACCATTGTTTCGTAAATGTGCAGTTGTTTATATCCATGTAATCGTGGGCTACATGTTGGCTTTCTTTATAGGCAATGCTCTGATAAAACTAACAGGAAACTTTGCATAATCTGCTTTGGTATTCTTGTTCCCAATATTACCAGTGTGACCTATGACCCACACAAAGTGAATTGTATTGTTTAATCCTATAGCTTAAAATACTAATTGCCTAATGTCATTTGCAAGACAGTTGCGACTGTTACGGTCACAGATTTCTATAAGACTAGATTGACTATCCGATGCTATTATGGTTTTTCTGATATTGTTGATGTTTCTTCAATTGCAAGCTTTGCTAATAGCAAAGAGTTTGGCTTGAAATATTGAACAAGAACTATGCAGTTTTTTTTATTAACAATTTTTTACTGTTCGGGGTATTGAATTATTTAGGCTGCTCCTGATTTGTTATCATGTTTATTTCCGTCGGTGTAGATTATGTAAGTATCTGGTTGTAAATCTGTTTCTTTTTATTTTTCAACTTGTTCGTAATTTATTTTTATTCTGTTTACAAGATGGAGAAGTGTTGATGGATTTGTTGGTCGGTCAAGTGAAATATGTGGTAAGCGAATTACTTCGACATTCTTACATTTTCTGTTTTTGCTATTTCTCATATTGTCGCAGGTAACGTTGTTGTAGATTTACTATGGAGATAGATGTCCTACCAGATTATCACTCCATGTAATGGGGGGCTGTCCTTTATTTTACTTTTCGGTACGAGGCCGTCAATCGAGCCTCTCTTCTCTGCCGGTTGTCAGTTCTTCGAGTTTTCTTTTTTCTTCGAGACTTTTCAGAACTTTTCAGAACATGTAGGACTAACCTATTCTAAAAATGTGTCCTACGTAAACATACTCGTCAATGATGTCGACTTTTAGTGTTCTTTACAATTTCTAGGGTAGGTCTAACATTGACGTTAAATATATATGTCTAGTCCGTGTTCATCTTAAAACCTATCCTCTGGAAGATACGATCAACTGATATTTTATTATTTATTTTTTTAATTCAACACCATTTTATCATAAAACTGAACGTTAAATAATAGGGCGATAAGACTTTCTTACGTGAAGATATGAAATGAATGGAATTTTAAATTTTTATTTCAACTATTTTTATATCGCACGTAGTGGTTTTTTGATAATTCAATTAGTTGTCAAAAACCACTATTACAGTTCTACAAGTGCTTTTCGTGGACAAAGTCGCGTTTTTGTAAAAGAGGCCAATAAGTTATTTTATCGTGGAAGTGGCCGTATCCTCCATACAAACTGGAAAGTCCTGCATGTCCTGTTAAACTATTTTTGTTTTTGTTTTGAACGAAGAGTTGAATAATTACAAAAGTGAAACTGGAGTTTAATTAGATTTTTCTTGACCGATACGACTTTGAGACCTTCAAGAAAAGAGTCTACTCCTTTTTAAAAGGCCGGCAACGCATCTGCGATTCCCCTGGTGTTGCAGTTGCTCGTGGGCGGCGATAGTCACTTACCATGAGGTGAGCCGCATGCTCGTTTATCCCTCTCCTATTAAAAAAAGTGATCTTTTAGGGAGTTTTCGTGTTTTAATATATTTTTTTAATTTTAGAAAAACAACAAACTTTGAAATACAAACAAAAGGTTTGTATTTCAAATTTGTGAGACTCTTTAATAGACACAATTTAATAGATCCATGTAAACTCATTGGTTTGTTGATTTTTCCCATTCCATTTAGTTGGATATAGTATTTTATTTGTTATATTATAGCGCAATAATTTTACAAATGCCTGACACCTTAAGGATATACATGATATCATATAAAAAATATGAAGAACATTATTTATTTTTGTAACTTTGTTTGGTGTCAAATAAAAATATCTCGTCGATCGGTCTCTAGATAGAAATTTCAAAACACGTACTTCGTGCTTTGATTTTCCTTTTTTCAACTTTTTTCAACTTTTTTCGGTCGACAAAAGGAATTTCTAGAAAGTTCTTATGGTATACGTATTATCATCGCTTTGAATGCCAGATATTTAACATAAAGAAGTTGGGCTCGCTCTTTGTCAAGACCCTGGACACACCACTGGTCTATGGTTCAAAAAGAATAGTAGAGATAATAAATATAGATCAAAATATCTCTAGGCAACGTGATCAAATGACTTAATTTTTATTTTCACAATCCTCAAAATTATGTAGTTAAAATAAATCATTAATGCTGCTCAAACCAGCAGTTTATATGAAAATAAACATCCATTTTGCAACCTTTTTTTTTTATTGTTGTTGCTGTATTTTTTTAACGAATAGTAGCGATTCCACGGCAATTTCTAAGAAAAAAGCGGCTGTTTCACTTTTTGTGTAAACTCATAATCTCACACCGGAAATCAAGCTTTAGCGCTTTATTTAGAAATCAATTTCTTTTATCCATCCCTTGCGAACATCGGAGCAAACTTCAATCTATCTACACATCATTAATCATCATTAAAATCTTTATTGCAGCAGAACATCGATCATTCGGACGCATCGGACGCACTAGTACTAGTGCTATTATTTATTATGTGCTGGTACTGGTGATGTCATCAGCTGCGCCTGTGCGAACTTACATAGAACTTCATATAAGGAATTCAAATGCGGCGGATGCTCCAAGTGTGGTTCACCTATAATGTGAGCGAGTAGCGTGACCTTGACAGATCGACATTAAAGCCCGACCTCTTAAAAGTCTAAATTCAATGAGCGATAGGTTTTCTTTTGTTACACTGATTATTGCATACTTTATGACACAAAATGTTCCTAAAATTCCGCATTTTGTGATTTCGTATAAAACTACTACAATTTGCTCTTATTTGTGCATTTTTTTTTTTGGATTACAGGTTCCACTTCTTTATATTCGATCAAGTGCTTGAAGTGGCAAAAAAGTTCGTAGTTTTCGATGGTACTAAAAACTGCCTATATGTGGTACCGGTCAAAATTAGCGGTGGATATGACATCGATTGGGATGTTATGCTGGATTACAAAGAGATACCACCAGTTGCGGTACCGTCCGTAGAGGTAATAATTACACATTTTATTTACCAGGTTATTGTTAACTTTTACAGGATAAAGTCATTTAGTCATTGCACGGCCCTGAGTGGTAAATTTTAGAAGTAGAGTCAGCTTTTTGAATATTGCCTGTAAAAAATAAAAAATAAATCTAAAAAATAGCTCTCACTGAATGAATACTTTTGATTAAGATATTAACGAATCTTGTAGTATTGACAGTTCTGAAAGTAAAGATAATTTACACACGCAATTGTCAAGGGTATACAATAAAAAATAAAACTAGATATAAATATAAAAGCGCATTACATTGTTTTGGTAATTTTAAATGAATATGGATAGCCTTTCAAGACTTTACTGCTTTTACATTTTTTGTAACATACTCGCGATAATAGGTAGGGGACGGAATGTTCGTCTGTAGCGGGTAGCGGCCCCGGGTGGCAGCGACGCATGCTACGCCACTGATGCTCTCATTAAATACCAGCATAATACCGAAGATAAAAATATTTGGAAGGAATAAATAACATGTGAAGTTGCCAACACGCATTGGAGCAGCGCGGCGGACATTTCCTTGCCCTAAAACTCTCTCAGAATCAGAGACCTGTGTCCAGCTGTAGGACGTATATAGGTTGTAAAATAGCAGCTTACTGCTATTTTACATATCATATTTCACCATAGAACTATTTTGCATATAAAAAGGCATTCCATCATAGTCTTTGAGGAGGGGGTGTTAACGAATAACGAAACGAAACAACGAAAAGCATTTTGATAATGATTTGGGAGTATATATAATTGTCTATGGGTCGCAGCATTCGCTTACCATCAGGTGGATTGAATACTTGTTTATCACATCTACTCTAAAACTGATTAAGTGACGAGTCATAAGTATTTGATATCAAAGGACTTTTTTATATAATGATTTCTTTTGTTTACGCGAACACTACTCATTAAATAAAACTAGTTTTTACGGATTTTATCGCGTATATTTATTATTTTTATATTCCCGATGTATCGACCACTTTACAGCACCTTTGGTCACGGGGAAGATTTAATTTTATTAATTATAGGATCCCAAGCAGACAGTAGCACCCAGCCATCTTCTCTATTGGAATCCTAATTTCCTTAAAATCCCAGTTTAATATACTGCGTGTCCGGTCACGGACTAGCGATGTTCTAGGCTTATATTACAACTATTTTAATACTGTTTTTTTACTGAGATAAAAATATGCTCATTAGGAGGTCAACAATATTGTCTATCGTTTACATTTCGAAAAAATGGGTTCCATACTCCTAACTTTAAAAAAAATATTTTAGTCAAAAAAATCGAAAAATTGTGCAAATTGGCAAATTATTGTAAATTACTGCAAAAACAAACCCGATTACACATATTTATTTTTTTCTAGATCTGCAGATTTTGAGCTAAGCTACAATAAAACATTAAGTTCCCAGCTTTATGCTTCTTACTTTAAGAATTATTGTTGTCTTATCATAGAGTATGCGCCAGCACAAAGGAGACAGATCCACACGTGGAGAATATATCAAGAAAAAAAAAAACAAAATGACTGTCCCATTGAGGGCAAGGGGCTTAGACCACGGTGTGTAGCGTTTGTAGCGTTTGTGTACTGAAATAGTTGTAATATAACTACCTAGAATATCGCTAGTCCATGACCGGACGCACTGTATAAAATAATAAAATTAAATCTCAACCCAAGCAATATAACTGCAAGGCTGGCTTCAAGATACTATACATTCATACTGCGTAGATACTACCAATAATTTTAATTTAAAGGTAGCTGTGGTTAACTATTATATCGGGACGTCAAACGCCTCAGTCCCCCCGTGTCATTGGGTGCTGTAAAGTGCTCAAAATGTCGGGAATATAAAAATAAGTTAATATTATACGTGATAAAATCCGTAAAAATTAGTTTTATTTAAGGGGGAAGCTCCAATACCCCCGCCATACATTTTTGTTTTGACATATACATTAAACACAGACACTATTTCTTTAAAACTAATCATTTTATCACTTTTCTACACTGAAGTGTGATCGACCTTATTAGGAAATAAGTTACAGTATTTATTAAAAAAAAAACGATAGTGAAATCTAGGAAATTTTTGTCACGTTTTGTAGTGTGAGTGAATTTTGACAACTTGACAAGCAAAAGCGTCAAAAACATAGCTTAAACATTGACACGCTAGATGGCGTGCCGACGATACTGTTGTGCAACAAATTCGTAGGTAGATATTATGCAACGATGCCGTACTTCCTAACCTTGAACTAGATGCAAGAAGAAACAGCGATGCCAAACTTCCTTGTCTTGTTTGACTGTAATAAAATTTAAACATTCTAAAGTAATTCTCGATTGTGAAGGGATAAGATTTGCGCGCGGAATTTGTTGCGATTTATATTATATTTTTGTATGATTTTCATTGATTCAATTTGCAATATTTCTAGTATGTATTTGATTCCAATATAATACAGTATATTGTAATTTATTGTAGGTATAGTAATTAATTATCCAAATTACGCAATTTTGTTTTCGGTGGTATTAGAAACGCAAGCTGGCCCGTGATTTCAAATCTCGTTACAATACTAATTACCTATGTCATATGTCATAGAATAGAAATAAATTGTAAGTATATTATTTAAAAATTGGTAAACATGTATACGAGCCATAGTAACTCAGATGGTTAGCGCTCACTGCAAATTTCACACTACGCGAGCAACCCGAGTTCGCGCCCTGCCGGCACCGATGAATTTGTTAATTGCACCGCGGCGGACAATTTCTTTTCTTGCCTTAAAACTAATCTATTAAAAAAATAATTAACAAGTCAAATGATTTTTGTTTTACTAAAATCTTTTGAAGTTGAGTGTGCTTTGAAATTAGGAAATATTTTTTCACCTTCCTGGTAATTATCGCATACTAAATCGTGTTTTAGATGTTGTTATCTCTTGTTTATGAATAGTTTCTTACGTATTATGTAATGTCAAATTTTCGTAATAATTGGTTATGTTCTTAGAGTAATCAGACATAGAGTGATAGTGACATTCAAAATTCCGTTCAAAGTTGAAGCAACAACACAATGAATGCGTGCATAAGCGACCTGTAATTACGTTTGCCCACACGCACACAAGCAATTGAATAATGTTTGCAAGTTAATGACATTTTCCCCAAAAAGTGGGGAAAATATAATAGTAGACATCGTCATAGAATTAATATTTAGGTTGCGTTTATAATTATTTATTAACTGTTTGCAAAGAGATAAATGTAACATTATTTATTTTTGTTAACTTGTGTAATATTTAAATTATTTATATACGTAATATCTTGTGTTATATTGATTATGTAATTATATTATTCTGTTAGAAGTGCTATATTTTTTTATAGGATAGGGTGACAGTCCACCTGATGGTAAGTGGTTGCTGTGGCCCATAGACATCTACATCTATCCTCCTTTGCGAATCAAAATGCAGATGCGTTGTCACCCGTGAGGGCTAAGATGGGATGCCTCTTTTTCAGTAAATAGGGTCTCCAGTTCTCTACACTCACATACGAAACACTGCAGTGTTAAGCTGCTATTTTACGCTGGTATTCTGTGAGAGCATGGTCCTTCCCCGGTCGAACCGACCCATTCGTGCTACAACTATACTACTAATTTAGCTGCAGCATGGTTCTACCACTTATAAAAATTATATATTTATATAAATATTTGTTATTTATCTTCCATAAAATCTTATATTATTTGTAAATATTAATTTTTATATAATACTCAATAGCCTTATTCTATGATATATAGAGAAGTGGAAGAAATTGGGGAGGCAAATTCCTACGGCTATTTCTTCCAGTTTTTCCAATCCAGTCCCACTTACACTTAACAAGTGAATAGTTGTCAGATAATCATTTTAGCTGTCAGATATTTTGTCATTAGTTATTCCTTACTAACTTTGGCTGTGGCCCGCAGCTTAAACCGCACATTAAAGCATACACTGATCTCGATTCTTGCCATTCCAAGAATCTACGTGATATATTTAATTTAAATCGGTTTCGACGTAAAGGTTACAACATACAACTTTCACAGAATGGATATAATATTAGAAGGAATTACGAGACTAAAGAGTGCGGTCAGCTTCAAGTCATTATTATTATTACTTTATTGGATATTATGTTTTGCATTAAAACAAAACAAGATTCGGAAGGAGATAACTATTCAAATAAAACATGAAATTAAAAATGTTTATTAAAAAATATAAAATAAAATAAAATGTACACAAGTACTTAAAAAAATATCTCTTAATTACCCTGAAACTGAACAACCGCCGCTTTGATGACGATATTCTCGAAATGTTATCTTTTTTAGATTCTTAAAAGAATCGTACTAAAAATGTTAAATGTATGTAAATTAGAATAAAAAAATAATGATAGGCTATGTTATTTATCCTAAAACACATACCATAAAAAGGTAAAAACAACTGCACATTATCAAAACAAAATAAAATCAACATATTTTTTTTTCGTGGCAAATGTGAACCCTAATAATATTTGGCCAATAAAAATACCTATTTATGTGTGAATGAGACTATTGGCAGTATGTATGTATTTTTTTCAATATGCATTTTTTTTATAATTATGATAATAAGAAAAAATGGGGGAAAATATTTTACTATGCCTAGCAACATTTTCATTATATTGGCGTCTGTCAAATTTATTATTTATTATTTAGTTTTGATGAATGTTTTTTACAAAAATATAAGATGCTAGGCAGTACTTAACCGTGAAATGAGATTTACATTATTTTCGTGATTATGTGATGAGTTGTGACACCCTCTCACAGTACAGTACGTCATTTTTTTGAAAAATTGTGCGAGCTGTTTACACGACTACGTGGACTCGAGTACTAATGCGCCAAAAGTCGTACTTAGCCTTTAAAGGCTAACTTGAAATGGCTTCACTTTGCGTGCGCCTAATGCGGTTCTAAGCCTAATACTTCTATGGTTATGTTGTAAATCATCTGTGTTAAATTTGACAAAAAATTACTTTGCGTACTTTTTTGTTAATTATTTTTTTACTTTTTTTTATTTTATTTTTTGTCAAATTTAATATAATGGACTTCCGCAAAGTAACGCCTGATTATATTAATTAAATCATCTGTGTTATTAGTTTTGAGTGAATAGGTATGTATCATGCGTGTTACTTCAAATACTTGTTTTGATCATTAATTTCAATAGTGTAAGGTTATAAAATAAAACTGCGTTTTATTGTTCTTAGTGTTGACATAATTTATTTTCCAAGATTATTATTGAATTAAACAGTTTATTTACGCCTACAAATATAAGTCAAAGGAGTTAAAGTTACAGCCTATATACACGTCCCACTGCTGGACACAGGCCTGTTCTCATTTCTGAGAGGGTTTTAGGGCAAGGAAATGTCCGCCGCGCTGTCCCAATGCGTGTTGGCGAACTTCACATGTCTTCCAAATATATATTTTTTTTTCTTATTTGTCAGACATGCAGGTTTCTTCACGATGTTTTCCTTCACCGCCGAGCACGTGGTAAATCAGCACTTAAAATTGCAATTAACAATTTCATTGGTGCCGGCGGGGATCGAACCCGGGTTTCTCGCGTACTGTGAAACTTACAGCGAGTGCTAACCATCTGTATTACCACGGCTCATTTTACAAATATGACTTTTATTTTTATAACATAATCGTAAAATACTGGTATTCAGTTGAATCCGGTTTGACTGGGAGCTGATCCCAATATAGTTGGGAAAAAGGCTAGGCAGATGATGAATCGTACATAATATATATCCTAGCAGGTGGCGTTCTGTAGTTCTGCCCAGAAAAAATGACTACAAGAAAAAAGGAAAACATTTTTTTTTTTCACGCCATCTAGTGTTCAATTTTCGTAAATGTAGGGACTAAGAATTCACCCACGTCTGTGTGTGTAAACGATACTATATTCAATGACAGATGTTATTTTTGGAATTTGTGTTGAATTGTGTGGATTTTGAGGCAATGATATGACCTAGTAAAATAAAGTATAATATCCGAGTATCGCGATTGCTACTTCTACGACTTAATAATGTTCCAATTACACAAAAACCCAAATAAACTAAAAAATGATGACTTCAGTGCCATCTCGCGGGAATATGGCCGGGAACAGACCTTATGTTTCACCTTAAATGGTCACTTTATGACATTTATCGTTTTTATTTTTGAAAAAATATGTAAATAATACGTTTCTTCCTCCCCCCCCTTCCTGATGATGTTCCTTACATGATCGCACCTATTTCATTATCTACGGGTTGGTGAGGCATTTATCTGTCTAGGGTTTTCTTCAGTCTTGGTTGGTAACAACTTGTCTATTACTGCAGCAATGCAGAAGTATACCCACTGATGTGTTCTAGTTTAAAAACAATGAGAGGCAAGCTATTTAAAAAAAAAAGAATCAATATAATATGCGGGTTTTTCCTGTTTACTAATATTATTAAATAAATGTTATTCTTATTATTTTACATTTTCAGACACGTAAATCAATAAAGGTGACAAAAGATAGCTACCAATATTACGTCGTTTCTCCGTGGTATCGCGCCACTATTTTCCCAGACAGGTAATACAGGTTTAATAACTGCTTCCTTACTACTTATATTTATAGCCGCGAATAAACGACGCTTTGGAACAAGTGTTTGGAGATTGCATCATACCGTTACCGTTACCGTTACAGCCTATTAAAATCCACTGCTGAACGTAGGCTTGCCCCATAGATTGCCTCATATGGGAGATATTTGCCATAGCTGCCACGCTTAGCAAGCGGGTTGGTAACCGCAGTTTTTTTTTCATTTTTAATCGTTATTAGGCAGATGCTGTTGCCCATCTCCTGATTTGTTTCTCTCTGTCGCCTCTTATGATACCCACGGGATGGTATGGGGTAGTGGATATTCTTACACCGCCACTACACGGTATCATAAAATCCATAACAATGCAAATTCTCACCAGGTGTAATGATGATTGATAATACACGCTACCATCCAGACTTCTACAGCCATGTGTGACAATTATGCAAAATTCTTCTTACTAGACTTTCATACTGTAGGAGAGATTCATGTTCGGCTGTGAACTGTTTTCCCCTGACGAATAAGATGATAACATGTGACCTTTCTTTTATATTTGCAGATACATTGTCTCAAATGTGCTTGAACACATGAGCCCGCAGTCTTGTTTCGGATCTAACACATTCGAGACCTTTGCGGACTATTATCTAAGTAAATACAACTTGGAAATTGTAGGCAGCAAAGACCAGCCGTTGCTTGAGGTAAGTCTGAAAATATTAAAATAATCATTTTTATACATAGACCTCATAAGAAATCGCCTGCAGATACAGACCTGTAGATAGAGTTGACAAATTCGAAACAATGCGGGATTAAGAAATGCGTTGATTATACAGGATGGCAGAATAGAACATGTATATTTGAAAAAATTGTAAAAATAAATAGATATATACGCTCATGGTAGATGTGGTTAAAATAAAACTATGAATATATAGGTTAATAAATGCAGTTTATTTTTTTAAAATAATATCATCTAAATGATGGCCTTCTGCATCGGCATTCCTCTGATCGTAGAAAAACTTTCTTCAGCATTCAGTGTGATCGCTGCCATTCCACTTCGGATATTTTCTTTGAGCTGATCAATGTTCCTCGGGTTATTGAAGTAGAGTTTGTGCCGGAGGTATCCCCACGAAGCAAATACAAAGACGAGATGGCATAAGCAACTGCGCACTGTGATTCTAACTAGGTCCTGACGTCATCACAGTGGGCGTGGCTTTACTTAGTATACTGTCAGCGTTGGTCCTGTGCGCTTATGTATCGAAAATCGCAAATCGGTGCATTTGCGTAGTATTAAGAAGAAAAGGATGAAGTGTTGTGTTTTATCGTGTAAAAACTACTCAGATAGATGATCTGACGCTATGGATGGCATCACATTTCATTTGTAAGTAATTTTATACCTAATTTATTAAAAACGTTCTAGAAAATCTCTGCGTCGGCTTTCAAATGTAATTAAATATATTCGACACTAGATGGCGACACTTTGTGTCATGGGAACTAAAAATATAAAGATACGTAGAGCTCAGTATTGGTAAAATAATCATACGTAGGTGTTCAAATTTGTTTTGCATTCAGTCCTGAAGATTTTAATGAGCCAAAATATTATTTTTATAGTTTTTATAATCATTTAATGAACAGGCCGCCATCTATCGTCAAAGTAGCTAAACTACATTACAACATCGATATGCAACGATGCGAGTAGTTTTACTATTTATCGGTAGATGGAAAATAGTAAAGTGGGCGGGGCTTAACATCCCATCACCCCGCAAATTGTCACGCGCTGTTATATAGTGAAATCTAATTACTACACCTCCTCTTTGTATTTGCTCCGTGATAACGACAAATTTGTCGATTTACAAAATCATTCCAATGGAAATGGGCCTCATCAGAAAAAAGTCAAAATTAGAAAATCGTCCAAGCATTTCTTCAGCAAACGCTAACGTTACTCCGAAGTCATTCTCTTAAAATTGTTGCGTTAATTGAATCTTATATGGATGCAATGTAAGACCCAGTCTAAAAATTATTTGCAAACTTCTTCGCGATAAGTGTAAAACGGACGCTCTCTTGCGGGTACACAATTGTGGATTTTCTCGTGCTGACTGCTTTACTCTGTCAATATTGTCTGCCATCTTAGATTTTCTAGGACAATCTTCAGTTTGTGTTTTAAATGTTGAACCAGTCTCTTTAAAGCGCTTAATCCTAATTTTAATCAAATTTGCAGTCGGAGCTTGACGAATTTGTTATAATCCATATTCAGGACAATATAGTCGTCTAGTTGTAATTAAAGAACAACCATTCTCGTAAAACGTGCGTACGCAAAATGCGCAACGCTTCCCGTCGAACTGACTCATGGCTACTAAAACTGCCCCAGTGCCGCTACTCAAACACACTATGTCCCTCCCTCCCCCCCTGCGCGTGTCCAAAACTCTTCGAAAAAAGATGATGCAATATGCACGTTCTATTGCGCCAACTTGTATAAGGAAAGCGAATAAGCGAAAAAATATCACCGATAAAGGACACTGAAAAAAGAAATTCCTCTATTTTATGTGTAAGCCCCTTCATGACTAAACATTAATACGCGGTTATTAAAACACTAAAGCTATTTCTGAATATCATTACTATTTAGTTACTGTATAAGGAATTTCAATTTAGTATATTAAATATATTCGACACTAGATGGCGACACTTTGTGTCATGGGAACTAAAAATATAAAGGTACGTAGTGCCGTGTAGTGGCGGTTAAGAATATCCACTACCCCATATCTTCCCGTGGGTGTCGTAAAAGGAAAGGGATACAGGCAGGAGATGGGCAGCAGCATCTTCCTGGTAACAGCAAAAATACAATACAAAACTGCGGTTGCCAACCTGCTCGCCAAGCGTGGCAACTATGGCAATATACCCCCCATGATGAAAGTTACGAAGAGACGGCGCCCAGTCCCCGGCGGCCCCGCTATTCCTGGCTACGGTGGCGACCATGGTAACGGCGGGGCAGGGGGTGCTAAGAATCTCCGGTGGAGGTTCGGTTGCCACCTACGACGACTCGACCTGGCAACATACAACGCACGCACCCTGAGGACTGACGAGAAGATTGTGGAGCTGGAAGAAGAGATAGACAAGTTACGCTGGCATATTATAGGATTATCCGAAGTCCGAAGAGAGGGGGAGGACACGGTAATCCTCGAATCCGGCAACTTGCTCTATTACCGGGAGGGCGACCATCTGTCCTAAGGAGGTGTCGGATTTATCGTCCACAAGTCTCTCGTTAACAACGTTGTAAAGATTGAGAGTGTGTCGACGAGGGTTGCGTACCTTATACTCAGAATCACCAAACGGTATTCGCTGAAGGTCATACAGGTTTACGCACCAACCTCGGCACACCCCGATCAGGAGGTGGAGGAAATGTATGAGGATATCTCTAGAGCCATGCATTCCTCCAAAACCCAATATACGGTGTTAATGGGAGACTTCAACGCAAAACTGCGCACAAGAGAGAACGGTGAGCTGAAAGTGGGGAAATTTGAAATAGGGCAACGAGCCCAAGGGGCCAGCAGCTGGCCGACTTCATGGAGAAAGAGTGACTCTTTATGATGAACTCTTTCTTCCAGAAGCGGCCCCACAGGAAGTGGACCTGGTCGAACCCCGACGGTTCGATAAAAAATGAGATTGACTTCATTATGACGACCAGACGACAACTGTTCAGTGATGTCTCAGTGATCGCGAGGGTGAAAACCGGCAGCGATCACCGAATGGTTAGAGGCACACTGAACCTAAACGTTAAGTTGGAGAGGTCTCGTCTAATGAAGTCAACGCTCCGTCCCCCTCGTGCTCTAATCCAAAGTCCCGAAACCTTTCAGCTCGAGTTACAAAACCGTTTTCAGTGCCTAGAAGACTGCAATGAAGTTGACGATATGAATGGCAAGCTCGTGGAAACTGTCCATGCGGTCGGAACTAAGTTCTGCAAGACCCGCCACAGAAGAACACAAAAACTCTCCGATCCCACTCTTAATCTCATGGCTGTTAGACGGGAGATGAAGCTACATTCTTCAACAGATTTGACAGCATACAGGCAACTGAACAGACAGATCTCCAAATGCATGCGGCGGGACTTACGCAACTTCAATACAGCTCGTATTGAAGAAGCGATCGAGCGGAACCAAGGCTCCAAAGTCTTTGCCAGAGATCTGCCTGCCAGAAAGAGCCAACTGTCAAAGCTGAAGACCGAATGTGGCAGCATCGTTTCCGGAGCACCTGAGATTTTGAGTGAGATTGAGAGGTTCTATGGGCAGCTGTACACGTCATCGTTGGAGCCGCACGCAAGTGTGAGTAACGATCCAAGAGCGAGTCTTATCCGACATTATTGCGATGATATCCCGCACGTCAGTCTGAGCGAGATTAGAATGGCTCTCCAGCACCTTAAAAACGGCAAGGCCCCAGGCGAGGATGGAATTACAGCGGAGCTTCTGAAGGCGGGTGGAAAACCGGTACTTGAAGTCCTTCAGAAGCTCTTTAATTCCGTCCTCCATGGTGGCATTACACCGGAGGCGTGGAGCAGAAGCACGTTGGTCTTGTTCTTCAAGAAAGGCGACAACGCTCTCTTGAAGAACTACAGACCGATTTCCCTTCTGAGCCGCGTCTACGTGCTGTTTTCGAGAGTCATTACGAATCGTCTCGCGCGCAGACTTGACGACTTCCAGCCTCCCGAACAAGCCGGTTTCCGGAAAGGCTTTAGCACCATAGACCACATACATACCCTTCGGTAAATTGTACAGAAGTCCGAAGAGTACAATTTGCCACTATGTCTGGCGTATGTGGACTATGAGAAAGCCTCTGCACCGCCTCTGCTACCGCTGTATTGGAAGATGTTTTCAAGCTTCTGGACTGGAAAGGATACGGTATCAACATTAATGGCGAGTACATCACTCACCTTCGATTTGCCGACGATATAGTCCTTATGGCAGAATCGCTGGAGGACCTAAGCACTATGCTCAATGACCTCAATAGTGTTTCCCAACGGATAGGTCTTAAGATGAACATGGACAAAACAAAGATCATGATTAATGTCCATGTCACACCTATCCCGGTAGTTGTTGGGAGCACTAAGCTCGAAGTTGTTGACGAATATGTTTACCTGGGACAAATAGTCCGACTAGGTAAGTCCAACTCGACCGAGAGGTCAATCGACGGATTCAACTCAGTTGGGCAGCGTTCGGGAAATTACTGCACATCTTCTCGTCAGGTATATCTCAAAACTTGAAAACGAGACTGTACACCCAGTGCGTGTTGCCAGTGATGACATACGGAACTGAGACGTGGTCCTTCACTGCTGGCCGGATGAGGAAGCTCAAGGTCGCTCAGCGAGCTATGGAGAGGGCTATGCTCGGAGTTTCTCTGCGTGATAAACTCAGAAATGAGGATATCCGCAGTAGAACCAGAGTGACCGACATAGCGCAACGGATTAGTAAGCTGAAGTGGCAATGGGCCGGCCATATAGCTCGAAGAACTGACAACCGATGGGGAAGAAAGGTTCTCGAGTGGCAGCCTCGTACCGGCAGGCGAAGTGTAGGGCGTCCCCCCACTAGATGGAGTGACGACCTGGTAAGATATGCAGGAAGTCGATGGATGCAGGTGGCTCAGGACCGTGCTTTGTGGCATTCTTTGTGGGAGGCCTATGTTCAGCAGTGGACTTGTGAAGGGCTGTAATGATGATATTGAATTAATGTAAATTTTACTTACAATCGACCACAAAATCTACTTTTTATTATCACATATTAAATTTAATATTTCATTCATTTACAGGTACGAAACATCAACACACGAATGAACTGTATAATGCCAAGATCCGCTACAATCAGCGCTTTTACAGAGAAACAGCGGAAATTAGTATCCGCCGCACAAGGCGACGATAAACCAAAGTTTTTCGCTGAATTTTTTATACCCGAATATTGCATCAAATACGATTTCCCTGGGGTGTTGTGGTACAAGGCAATTTTGCTGCCGACTATTATACACAGGTAAATATTGTTGATTTACTAAGAACCGCCAATGCCTAAGCGCACGTCGTAAATTTCACAGTGCACGAGTGAGATACCTGTCGAAGTAGCTTTATTATGGTTGTAGTACGAATGGGTCGACTCGAGCGGGGCAGGAGGACCACGCTCTCACAGAATACTAGCTGAAAATAGCACCTCAATGTTACTGTGTTTCGTATGGTGAGCGTAGAGAACCGGAGACCCTCTTTACTAGAAACGAGGCATTCCATCTTGGTCCTTAGGGGTGGCAACATGGCATTTTGATTCTTAATCTAGGATAGATGAAGATGTCTATGGGCTACAGCATCCACTTACAATCAGGTGGAATGTGTGTTCGTTTGTCACACTTATTTTATAATTTTTTTTTATAAAGAACGCTTTTTATGACGAAACCTGCATATCTCCAAAATATTTCTTCAGCTCTTACTGAAGCACTACAGTGAACTAAGTGCTCCATAAATCTTTCTTAAAATGAAGACTACTCTTAAAATAAGACCGTGAGTCGCAAAGAGGACGTATTCGGATGAGCAGATTGTATAGATGTAGTGATTGTGGGAGAGAGACAATAAGGTTCACGCGCTTTGATGTGCGTCTAAAAACCAACAAATCGGCCTATTAAGTGACCGGCATTGAATGGACTTCATGCACTATCCGAGTGTATCTTATCGCATATGCATTAAGCCGCAAACACCCCTGAAATTGAATAAAAAAAGCATTTCGTGCCTAATTTTCAGTTTCGGCGAGTGAAAAATATAAATATACTAGCTGACCAGGCAGACGTCGTTCTGCCCTTTTCAACGACCCTTCATATAAAAAATCCTTGTATTCGTAATAAAAAATATTGAGTGTCACTTATCAGGATAAAAACTATCCTATCTCTCAAGTGGGACCAAACTGCACAGTGTGCAAAATTTCATTGAAATCAGTTCAGTAGTTTAGGAGTTTATCGCGGACAAACAACGTGACACGTAATTTTTATATATAAAGTTATACTGTATTTCCAAAAATATATATATAATTTTTTTAAATTAAATTGCCTACTTCATAAATTAAATAAATAATTGGACTCCTAATATACAATAACATTCAAGTTCGTAAGCTTGCAGCTAACACCATTTCATTGTTTTGACTAATAAATAAATAATTTTGCACACATTCTTTTCTTCAGAGTTGTGATGTTACTAACCGCAGAAGAGCTTCGCGTTGAAATAGCTAAAGCTACTAAGTACGGACAGCTTGTATTGGCCAAAGGTGGGTCTTATTTTCTCATTTTTATGTTTTTGTACTTTCTGTAAGGTGACATAAATATATGAGTTGGTTTGTGATTCGTCGTAAACTAGAGCGTTATTTCATTGGCCAATACGATGATAACTATATATCGTCGTCGATACAGACTCTCCGATAGCGGGGCACTGAAATGTATGGAGCGATCTATGGTTCTTTTTCATTGATTGACACGACACCGATATAACGTCGCCGACTCCCCACTAAATCGATAAAACAAGGATGTTTCATGTAAATATGCACACATACATGTATGAGTTACCTGTTTTATTGAATATTGAAATGATTCTATCATCAGTCATTCGCTGTTCGCTCTCACCTCCAAAGAGCAAAGTCTCACATCATTCCATTGAAGCACACAACGTGCGTCCTGTTTGTTTATATTACTTAATCTATGTTTATAGCGTTACCGATATTATTGCCTCATAGAGAGATATTTACCATAGTTGCCACGCTTGGCACGCGGGTTGGCAACCGCAGTTTTTTATTTTTTAGTTATTATTAGGAAGATTCTGTTGGTACTCTCAGGTTCGCGAAGGAGAGTTAAGAAGTGTAGAAAGTTTTATATACAGGGTTATTTTTCAAAGCGTAGCCAAATTTTAAACTTAAGTTCAAATATATAAATAATGATATACCGTTATTGCAGTTTTTGAAAATACTAGTAAATAAGGCTTCTACTTTTATTTGAAATTATCCAAATTGAATGTGATTTATGGGCAACAACGTTTTTGCCTACCGATCGACCCTTACAAATGTGTGCGCAGTAAAATCAGTTAAAATAATAAAGTACAAAGTTATGAGGTAACACACATAAAAAAAAAACATACAGTCGAATTGAATACCGTCTCCTTTTTGGAAGTCGGCAGAAAAGACAGAATTTGATTCTATAGTAACACAAAAATATTAAAACTGACAATGAATTATATCAAAATAAATGCGAATATAAGTTGTTATTGTCTTTTTTTTTAATGTTAGTAACATTAAATTAAACGTTAACATTTTACTCGTATTAAACTTTAAATTTCGTACCTTTGAAATTTAATGAGCCACGGACAAATTTCGGCTTTTGAGCGACCACTATACTCTCACCAAATCTAAGAAATACTTTTTGAAAGTAGTCACATTTATTATATTAGGCATTTTTACTGAAAAATCGGCACCTACAATATTCGATTCACAAGAAATATCGATTGTTTAGAGTGGGTAATCATTTATAGATAAATATATGAATAAATCAGAAACATTACTCAAAACATTTCATATTTATTGCTTACTCTTAATTACTACAGATGAAGTTATATAAACTAAAGACTGCACTAGATTGAAAACATACTTATTTAAGGTGAAACATACATTTACCTGCGAGATGGCGCTGAAGTCATAATTTTTAGTTTGTTTCGGTTTTTGTATAATTGGAACATTATTAAGTCGTAGAAGTAGTTACCGCGGTACTCGAATATTATACTTTATTGTACCAGGTCTAATCATTGCCTGAAAATCTAGATAAATACATGAATAAATCAGAAACATTACTCAAAACATTTCATATTTATTGCTTACTCTTAATTACTACAGATGAAGTTATATAAACTAAAGACTGCACTAGATTGAAAACATACTTATTTAAGGTGAAACATACATTTACCTGCGAGATGGCGCTGAAGTCATAATTTTTAGTTTGTTTCGGTTTTTGTATAATTGGAACATTATTAAGTCGTAGAAGTAGTTACCGCGGTACTCGAATATTATACTTTATTGTACCAGGTCTAATCATTGCCTGAAAATCAACACAATTCGACACAAAGCCCTAAAATAATATCTGTCATTGAATATAGTGTCGTTTACACACACAGACGTGAGTCAATTCTTAGTCCCTACGTTTACAAAGGTTGAATACTAGATGGCGTGAATGAAAAAAATGTTGTAATTTTTTCTGTATGGGTGGGCAGAACTACAGAACGCCACCTATTACGATATATATTATGTACGATTCATCATCTGCCTAGCTTCTTTCCCAACTATATTGGGGTCCGCTCCTAGTCTAACCGGATTCAGCTGAATACCAGTATTTTACGTTTATGTTATAAAAATAAAAGTTATATTTGTAGGCGGAAACTATTTAATTCAATAATAATTTTGGGAAATAAATTATGTCAACACTAAGAACATAAAACATAAAACGCAATTTTATTTTATTACCTTACACTAATGAAATGACTGATCATAACAAATATTTGAAGTAACACACCTGATACATGCCTATTCACTCAACACTAATAACACAGATGATTTGCAACATAACGAATTATTACAAAAAATTGACATTAGATAACACGTAAGAAACTATTCATAAACAAGAGATAACAACAAATCTAAAACACGATTTAATATGCGATAATAACCAAGAAGGTGAAAAAATATTTCCTAATTTCAAAGCTCTTAAATCTCAAATCACTCATTCTTTTTTCTCTTTCCTATTCATCGGACCTTAACAATCCACTGCTGGACATGAACGATAACATGGTTGATAACGAGAGTTATAGGGAAAATCCGCGTTAATCGTCACTTTGTAATCAAATTGACGATCGTAATATTTGACGTCTCACACCTACTGCTGCCTGTTGCCGTAAACAAGTTGGTTATAGTACTATCGGAAGTCATAAGATGGAAAGACGAAATAGGATGATGGATTTTCTTGCAAAAGCACCACACTCACCCAATCACTGTATGCATAGCATTTAAATAGATACATTAGATTTATTGCACGCCATTAATATTAATATGAATAAGAAAAAAAAAGAGGAAATGAAAATGTTCTACCATGGACGGTCTTACCGCAAAAGCAAATTCTTAATTTAATAAAAAATATTTTTTTATCAGATGAGAAATGGCTGCCAATAGAAGTGGATCTGCAAGTTGCAATGAAGTCACTATTGTCTCAAGTTGAACATCCTGAAGGTCAGATAGGTGCTTTGAAAAACAACATCGACAGGTTTGTAATTTATTTGACATAGGGACAGTTGTAAATTATCCAGTGTTACGCTTTTTTTATGGCAGAGGGGAGGGGGCAAACGAGCATGCGGCTCACCTGATGGTAAGTGACTACCACCACCCATAAACAACAGCAACACCAGAGGAATTGCAGATGCGTTGCTGGCCTTTTAAAAAGAGTAGGCTATTTTCTTGAAGGTCCCTAAGTCGTATCGGTCACGAAAAATCTCTGGTGGTAGTCGATTTCACAAAGAAGTTGTGCGAGGAAGAAAACTTCTTCTAAATCGCAGTGATGGATCGCCAATCATCCAGATGGTATGGATAGTGTCGCTAGTTTTGTCGCGATGTGCGATGATGAAATTGAGCGGCTGGAATTAGTTCGAACAATTCCTCAGAGCATTCCCCGTGGTATCTCTTGGCAGTGCTAGTAAGTAAAGCCGATCGGCAAGAACTCCGTCGTCGACAATTCGAGCTACTCTGCGCTGAATGCGGTCAAGTGGAAGGAGCTGGCACTGGGGAGCCCCTGCCCAGAGATGAGAACATTATTCCATGTGGAGCCGAACCAGCACTTCGTAAAGTTGCAAGCGGTGTGCCGGCATGAAATACTGTCCCGCTCTGCTGAGCACGCCAAGCCTTTTGGAGGCCAATTTGGCCTTCTCTTCGAAGTGACCACGAAACTACTCATCACTCTATATGTCGACACCGAGTCCTCAAGAGTCGAGTTGAACGCAAAGAGAGTGCCTAGCAGATCGGCTTTCTCCTTTGCGGCATGGGCCAGTGAGTCGTCCTCCTTGTGCAGATATGGGAGAGATGGCTGACAGAAGTTCCCTTGACGAGAGACTAGAATGCACGAATTCCCGAAGGAAGTCGAACTAGTTTCTCGCCAAATCTGCCGATGCTCTGACTTTGCCTTGACAATGACACTTTTGAAGGACCTGGAGGCGGTGTTATACTTTCTTTTTGAGATCGCTGGTATTTGCATCTCGAGACCAAACCATGGTTGAGTTCTGCCTCCGATATTTACCACAGATGATGGAAAAGTTCCATTCCCTGAAGCACACCATCAACGACAGAATCAGCAACAACGTTGGAATCATTCGGCGAGAAGCAAACTCAGGTTAGGATGCAAAAAAAGACCGCATCCTAGCCCAATCGGCTGACCTATAAGTGCTAAACACGGCGGCAACCTGCAGAACGCAACCGCGTGAGTGGCACCACACTCCGGGCTAGAAAATGGTCCGAGGAGCCAAGAGGGGCATCGACGAACACCTGATATCCGTCCGGTTGAGAGGACAGAAGAAAGTCCAGGGTAGACGCATGATCCTCCACATCTCACATGGGATTCGCGTAGGCGAATTAACCAGTTATGTCAGACCATATACACCAAGGCAAAGTCATAATTAGATCTACCCGCATGATCGGTTAAACGGAAACCAAGCCATTCAGCGTGGTGGGCGTTAAAGTCACCGAGGATAACGATCTCTACGGATGGGATGGCGTTAGGTTTCAAGTGAAGTCCCCTGATGTTGCAGAAAGCAATTTACGGATAGCGTGGCAGGAGTCGCCTTTGTTTTATTTCTCCGTTTGCCCCAAGCAGTATTAGTCGCGAGCGTAATTTGTAATAATTGAAAACTCATTCATTCGTTAGGCATTCAGCATTTCGCATCAGTGTTACGAAATAGTTAATCTTTGTTCTTATTTAAAAATAAAAAAGTAAATTATCAAACAAAATAAATTTTTGTTTGATAATTAAACACACGCTATTGCGCGGCAATATCGTGTTCGTTCGCTCGTCTGTTCGTTTGCTGTTACATGCCGCTGCGCCTGTAGGATTCATACTGATCTTTGGAAAGTTTGAATAGAACGTCGAAAAAGCAACGTCGCTTTCTTTATTTTAAAGGTACAGTTTACTGATTCTTTCTTTATTTTGAAAAATTAACTATAACTAAATAAAAATGACTAAATTAATGCAAATTCCCGTGTACTTGCGGGTAAGAATACTAACTACCCCATATCTTCCCGTGGGTGTCGCAAAAGGCGACAGAGGGAAACTGAGGCAGAGGATAGACAGCAGCATCTTTCTGATAACAGCAAAACAACAATAAAAAAACTGAGGTTGCCAACCCGCTCGCCAAGCGTGGCAACTATGGCAAATACCTCCCCTGAAAGTGACTAAGAGACGACCCCAGTCCCCGGCGGCCCCGCTATTCCTGGCTACGGTGGCGACCATGGTAACGGCGGGGCAGGGGGTGCTAAGAATCTTGCCACCTACGACGACTCGACCTGGCAACTTATAACGCACGCACCCTGAGGACTGACGAGAAAATCCTGGAGCTGGAAGAAGAGATAGACAAGTTACGCTGGTATATTATAGGATTATCCAAAGTCCGAAAAGAGGGGGAGGACACGGTAATCCTCGAATCCGGCAATTTGTTCTATCACCGGGAGGGCGACCATCTGTGCCAAGGAGGTGTCGGATTTATCGTCCACAAGTCTCTCGTTAACAACGTTGTAAAGATTGGGAGTGTGTCGACGAGGGTTGCGTACCTTATACTCAGAATCACCAAACGGTATTCGCTGAAAGTCTATACAGGTTTAGGGACCAACCTCGGCACACTCCGACGAGGAGGTGGAGGAAATGTATGAGGTTATCTCTAGAGCCATGCATTCCTCCAAAACCCACTATACGGTGTTAATGGGAGACTTCAATGCAAAACTAGGCACAAAAAAGAACGCTGAGCTGAAAGTAGAGAATTTCGGAATAGGGCAACGGAACCCAAGGGCCCAGCAGCTGGCCGACTTCATGGAGAAAGAGGGACTCTTTATGATGAACTCTTTCTTCCAGAAGCGGCCCCACAGGAGGTGGACCTGGTCGAGCCCCGACGGTTCGACAAAAAATGAGATTGACTTCATTATGATGACCAGACGACAACTGTTCAGTGATGTCTCAGTGATCGCGAGGGTGAAAACCGGCAGCGATCACCGAATGGTGAGAGGCACACTGAACCTAAACGTTAAGTTGGAGAGGTCACGTCTAATGAAGTCAACGCTCCGTCCCCCTCGTGCTCTAATCCAAAGTCCCGAAACCTTTCAACTCGAGCTACAAAACCGTTTTCAGTGCCTAGAAGATAATATATGAATGACAAGCTCGTGGAAACTGACCATGCGACTGACCTAAGTTTTGCAAGACCCGCCGCAGAAGAACACAAAAACTCTCCGATCACACTCTTAATCTCATGGCTGTTAGACAGGATATAACTGAACAGACAGATCTCTAAATGCATGCGGCGGGACTTACGCAACTTTAATACTGCTCGTATTAAAGAAGCGATCGAGCGGAACCAGGGCTCCAAAGTCTTTGCTAGAGATCTGTCTGCCAGAAAGAGCCAACTGTCTAAGCTGAAGACCGAGTGTGGCAGCATCGTTTCCGGGACACCTGAGACTTTGAGTGAGATTGAGAGGTTCTATGGGCAGCTGTACACATCATCGTTGGAGCCACACGTAAGTGTGAGTAACGATCCAAGAGCGAGTCTTATCCGACACTATTCCGATGATATCCCGGACGTCAGTTTGAGCGAGATTAGAATGGTTCTCCAGCACTTTAAAAACGGCAAGGCCCAGGGCGAGGATGGAATTACAGCGGAGCTTCTGAAAGCGGGTAGAAAACCGGTACTTGAAGTCCTTCAGAAGCTCTTTAATTCTTCCTCCATGGTGGCACTACACTGGAGGCGTGGAGCAGAAGTGCGGTGGTCTTATTCTTCAAGAAAAGTGACAACGCTCTCTTGAAGAACTACAGACCGAATTCCCCTCTGAGCCGCGTCTACGTGCTGTTTTCGAGAGTCATTACGAATCGTCTCGCGCGCAGACTTGACGACTTCCAGCCTCCCGAACAAGCCGGTTTCCGAAAGGGCTTTAGCACCTTAGACCACATACGTACCCTTCGGCAAATCGTACAGAAGTCCGAGGAGTACAATTTGCCACTATGTCTGGCGTATGTGGACTATGAGAAAGCCTTTGATTCCGTCGAAATTTGGGTGGTGCTGCAGTCCCTTCAGCGATGCCAAGTTGACTGTCGGTATATCGAAATGCTGAAGTGCTTGTACAGTAGAGCTACGATGGCTATCCGAGTACAGAAACCAGAGTACGAAACCTATTCAATTGCAGAGAGGTGTAAGACAGGGTGACGTGATATCCCCGAAACTCTTCACCGCTGCATTGGAAGACGTTTTCAATCTTCTGGACTGGATAGGATATGGTATTATCATCAATGGCGAGTACTTCACTCACCTTCGATTTCTCGACGATATAGTCCTTATGGCAGAATCGTTGGAGGACCTAAGCACTATGCTTAATGACCTCAGTAGTGTTTCCCAACGGATAGGTCTTAAATGAAATTAATGCATAATTATTATAGGACTCATAAAATCTATTTCCTAGTGGCTAAAGAACGGAAAAATATATATAATAATCTCATGACTGATTTACACGAATTAAGTGGTCAATTAAATACGAGTAACTTTGAAAAGACTTAATTTTAAGTAAAGATTTGCACGCTATCAACACTTAATATTTCTTAAGCTCTTTATTTTTGCCAAGATGGACGATTAAAACCATATTGTAGTCATAAATTTAATTGGTAATAATTAATTTTTAATTCGTTATGGGATATTGAACAAAATGAAGGATGAAACAGTCAGGGAAGTGTGAATACCTAAAACACGGGGTGAAAAGATGAACATGGCAAAATCAAAAATTATGTTTCATGAACTAGCAGGAAAAGATAGAAATGAGTTTTTCTCTACACTACGGATGTCAAAAGAATCCTTAAATTACTTGTTGTCTAAAGTTGAACATAATAAACACGAAATAAAAAATATGATCTAAAAAATTTCTTTATTTCAGGATCAATAATCCAATAGACGAAGCGGCACGCAAACCTTTGAAAATAATTACAATGAAGGATAGTGTCTATCAGTTGCAAAAACAGAAGCTCAACAAGGAGTACCCTTGGGAGGTAACTTTTTTGTGATTGAATTTTATATCATAATATATTATAATGTTTATAAGTTATTTGAAAGCATTAAATATTCAATCGTTATTTTATTAGCCCTGATTAGCTGAGAACTGATCAACCATTTGTAATTTTGATTGACATATGTACTTGTTTCACCTATACTTTATTGTATTCACTATAGAACGCGTTTAGCCTTACAGCATCATTTCATCGCATTTTATCTCTTCATTTTACCCCTTTTTAATCATATTTCTCGCACGGAATATGAGATTTGGCATAGTTAAAAGTTTATATGAAAAAAAAATGCAAAAAGCTAAAATTTATACCACTATTATTAAGTAATACCTGACTGATTATACCATATCGTTATCTTGTTGTTAAAGTTCATATCCACTTTATGACTACCGACTGTCGTAAACCACTTTTAAGATAAACATTTTGGGTATAGTTAACGGGAGTTTTAGTAGAGATAACAGTTATATATATTTATTAAAACAAAAACGGCTGCTGCTTTAATATACTACTGATAATTTTGTAAGATTAGCAATGATATGCGTTTTTGCATCCAATAGAGAATAATAACTATTTACATATACAAAAATAAAATGCTCGCACCTCATCAGTTCTTACAGTCTACTGTTGATCATGAATCTCTTCCATAGTGAGAGGAACTACTAATTTTCTATCTCTCAGAGTTTTACGTTTCTTATTGGAAAATTAAAGTATTATAATTTTTTCCAAAAAGACTAAAAAAATATTCTCCCCAAACTACTTACATATATTTACCGCTTTATGGGCATTTAGGTCTTTATTGATGCTATGGAATTTAAAATTTTACCCTATCAAAAAGTTATCTAAGCTTCACAAAAATATAACTGTTGGGACAAGGTATAGAGAATATGGTGGACGATGAAGGGTCACTTGCTTTAGCTCTACTAATATTGCTGGGTGGTCGTTATCATGAAGGAATTTTGAGTGCCAGCTTCTTCACCGTCATTTTCATTTCTTGACAATAACGATCAGAAGTAACTTTATTATGAATAACATCAATAGCAAAGAAAATACATACTACGCGAAAAGAAACGACGCTTAAGCATGTGTGCACGTAAAATCGCTTGCGGCTATATGTGGGTGTCTGGATGTGTGCGGGGGCCTTGAGAGGCGCGCGGGGCGTCGAACGGGCCGTCGCCGACTGCGCTGGCCGAGGGCTCGTACGTAGTAGTTCACATCTCGTCTCTAATCTCACGCACCGCACGAAAGCACAGACTGACTGCGCTTTATACAAAAATAATGCCTATTCATTTGTATATAATTATTCTACCTTTATTTAGTATTTGTTTATATGTATAGCACATTTATGTTATACGAGTATATTATAGTTTTAAAGTATATATTTATACTTAATTTTATATATTTATATGTATAAAAATATACATTTATGTATGTGTATATATACAGGGTCATTTTTAATTTACTAAAGACCTTTTGGGAATATATTGGTTACATCATTACAAACAATTTTAGATAGATCACTCTTCACAGAATATAATACATTTACGAAAAAACTACTTTTAAGGTTTTGTTGTCATGTCTGACTCTTTTTAAGTCTGTATTTTGTAGTACTTAAACAATGTCAGAATAAATCGTCAAAGAAAATGCCTTATTTATTTTACACTTGATATCAGTATCACACATAGTGTTGAAATCATTAAAAATAATTAAATGAGCAAATGACATTCAAAAAAAATCACAAATATTAAAATTTATAATAAGTAAGTATGACCGCCGGACCGGTCGCTCCTGCGCTCAGCTGATTGTGTTGCGAGTGCCTACTAAACCATTCATCACTGTGCCTATTGCACCAGCCACTTTAAATTACTTTACATTAACCTTTAATATACTTCTTTATTTTGCATAAAACCATTTGATGAACTATTTGATTCTTTTATTAATTTCTTTAAGAATTAATAGACATTCTTTAATTGACATTTAGGTAGTTTTTTTACGAATACTGTTTACTAGCAACTCTGCCTGCATCCAAGAGGCAACGCCTCAACGTCGCACATGCGGCGGCCCAAGGCAAAGCCAACGATATATTATAACGTCGACACAGGTGTTACCGTCATCAAAGGCGCCGCCTGCCCTTTTCGGTTTGCAGGCATCGATTTGGTGGTCGATGTTTGCAGCACGTGCAAATTAAATGAGTATTATTAACTATTTTTTTAAGTTGTATTTAAAAAATGGATGCAGGTTAAAATATTACAATAAAATATTTATAATGATCAAAGATATCTGGCGATCTGGGAGGCCATGCACAAGGCCCGTCACGACCGACCCATCGACCAGGGTATTCTCTGTTTAAATAATCCTTAACTTGGCGAGCATAGTGCGCCGGCGCCCCGTCATGTTGGTAATACATATTGCGTAGAGATGCAAGTGGTATGTCCTCTAACAACTCTGGCAGCGTGTCGGTGAGAAAACTATGATAGCTTTCACCGTTTAATCTTTCTATGAAGACCGGGCCCAGTAACGTTGTATTAATAACGCCTGCCCACACATTGACATTAAACCGGTGTTGAAAGCTATGCGGTCTTGGTTCATGTGGATTTTAATAGCACCACAAGTGTTCATTGTGCGAATTAAATAGTCCTATTCTGCCAAATGTTGCTTCATCAGTCCATAAAATGTTGGCTCGTTCAGCAGCTAGTAACCAGTTACAAAATGTAACTAGCGCTGGTTTGTCAGCTTCGCTGAGTTCATGAACACGATGCAAGTGGAAAGGTTACTTCCTTTCATTGTGTATGACACTCCATGCGTAGTACTGTGACACATTGAACTGTCGGGCTGCCTCCATAAGTGCTCGCTGCTGGATTTTGTTCAAAAAACTGCAATATATCTTCCTGCTCACGTGTTGTGCGCCGCGGTGGACGACCACGATCGATTGATACAGGCTGGAATTGCCTGTAATCTCGCAATCGCTGTGACTACACAGATGCTAGGTACTAACCTAGCATCGTAGCGTAGCTCGGTGCACGTGAGTTGGGAAATCGCCTTGAATATTCACGACATGCTTCACTAACGTTATCATTGCAAATTGCTAAAATTCGCACCATTTCGGTATACTCAATATTTGAGTATCGGTATGCCATTGTAACAACGCGTAACGTTCGCGCTATTAATCTCACAACGGTAGGAGAAACGTCGCGGGCGCACCAAAGGCGACTGACGACACAGATAATTAGGTCCGCCTCCTACACCCCTCCACCCCTACCCCGCCAAGCGCTTTATTTTGCTATTTAGGACTATTACCGTTTAGAAGGTCCAATTAAAATATTTTTATTTTTGTATGAAAATAAAAATTATAGAAATATAATTTCTTTTCTTACAGATGTTGTTGTTATGATGTAAATAATATATTCCCAAAAGGTCTTCAGTAAATTAAAAATTACCCTGTGTGTATATATATATATATATATATATATATATATATATATATATATATATATATATATATATATATTAATATGTATGTATGTATTTATCTTATCTATGTACTTATATACCATTCTATACGTTTATTTTATGGCTTTAATAAAAATAATGTTATTTTTGTCGCCAAACCACACACGTTTTTATGGTTTTCTTGCAATCCTGTCCATCCAAAGGTTGTCTGGAAGAGATCGCTCTTACAGATAAGACCACCTATTGTACCACATTTATTTTTCTCATTTTTTGTAAATATTTATGTTACCTTTTGGCGTAATTTAAAGTGTTATCTATCTATCTATCTATGCTTCCCTATGGATATTCTAAAAAAATTATACATTCAGCCACGAATTTTTGTAATTGTTAGAAATAATAATAAAAATTATAAAAGTCATCGAAAAAGCCAAAAATATATAAGAGTAAATAATTTTTAAAGGATATTAGGTAATACTGATTATTGCGTACTGAAATACTAAGTGTTGGTTAATTATTTAAGATTACCATTAACTGTTGTGCATATTTTTTGTTGTCGGAAATTTTAATTTTCTCCATGTGTAAAGATATTTAATAAAAGTTAATTTAAAATTGATGTATCTTTCACTACCTTAATACATAAGTTTACATTATATAACATATACCTACGATGTATCTTCTTTGGCACAAGTCTATAATATTCCATTTCGGTTCGGTATCAACCCTAGAGTTACACGCTCAGGCTTAATGTCACCGGTGCTTGAACTCTCGTACAGAGAGTGGCACCGCTGTGCCAATAGTAAGCCACCAAACTGTCACCATAAGCTCCTGGCTAATCTTTCATTTCGGGCACTGTTTGGATGGGCACTCTGTAATGAACGCTTTTAATTGTCGTATAGGATCCACTTCTCATCACAAGTAACAATTTGACTCTGTGCATCACTTAGTTCGGAATGTACCCATTTGTCCAGTTTCTTTATATTACCGATTTGCCGCAAAATATATAATGTTATGTGTCACCTACATCAAAAGCCGACGCTAGCTCTGCCATAATTTAAGATGGATCCAGATTTCAGCTTCCACCATCGCCTTCAGTTCGTCATTATCATTCATATACCTTCTTCTCCGGGCGGCCACGAGATTCATATTATGTGAGATCAAAATTTCCCGAACAAAAGCTATTAATCCAATACCGCACAGTTCGTCCGTTTATAGTGCTAGGTCGTATTCATTCATTCATAATCATTTATTACGTAGTCGGAATCGAAATTTCAATACATTTTTATTCTTAACTGTACCTACCAATCAGATGTATTGTGTTTTTTTAATTTTAAAAATGTTACGTTTCCAAAGATAACGATATTTGTCATAATTTATCAGGAACAAAAGGAGCCGATCGATATCGAGCGTAATCTGTCAACGGTGACCGTTATGGACATAGAATGCTACGACGAGTTCATCACGGGACCCATGTACTCTAGCCCTGACGATGCAACAGTTCGGTCACCGCCTAGGAGCGTGCCAACTTCAGGCGCCCTTCTCCCGCCACCGATCAAGTAAGTGACATATATTTTAATCTATCATAGTGTAATCGGCAGGATTTTCTCAATCTTAAAATATATTTAATTTAATAAGTTAAAAAAATATATATAATCATCGAAATCCGTTAACGTGTAAAAGAACTATTCGCCCTATTACCCGCTACATACGAGTAAAAACGGCATTAATACGTAATAATTATTATAATCAGATTTATTGATTTGTCATAAGACTCAAATTAGGGTAAACAGTACTAATGTTGGCACTCCTACAATGATTGGCACTTTGCTATTTTAATCTGAATATTAAGAATGTTTTCCCTTTTCTATATCACAGCTACACAGATATTGCTAAGATATATAATTACTTATACTGACAATACACATTTATATTTAAAGCATCAACTATTTTCCTATAAGGGCTGTTTTAAAAATGTGTGCCGACAAATCCGTTAAAATTTAACAAAAATTTAAGGTTATGTGGCTAGATTTTGAGACAAAAATGTGATTTTTAGGTAAGTTTATATACAAGTTTCTGTCTATTTTAATCAATTAACGTCATTAAAGCATATTAAACGTTATTTTATCGTTGTGAAATAGAAGCATCGGTTTTTTAAATTGTGCCAATGACTATACTTTACTTTGTTTGACTACATAATCATATGCCAATGATGTCAATCACTATACTTTCTTTCTTTTGTCCAAAATCTATTCTTGACACTGCCAATGACTATATCCTTTGAGTAGTGCCAATGATTATGACTGAACTTTTTCATATTTTGAATTGATGAAGAATACTGCTATTAATAGAGGGCGTTTTAGAAAAATAACTGCCGCACTAACATTTAACATTCCACGTGCGAATTTACAGTTCCCACTAAATAAGTAAAGTAAAAAAACTAACAAGCTGAAAAGCCGACCTGGTACTGGCACAGTTTTCGATGACATAAAAATGTCAATGGTGTGAGGTTTTTGAATAAATACCCCATACATACTAAACCGTTTTTTAGAGGGAGAATAAAAGGTCTATGAGGTGGATCATGCCTAATCGAAATCTTGCATCACTGTTCTTTGGAGTAGACGGTAAAACCTATTATTATCCCCCCTATAGAAAATGTGATCAGACGTTCAAAAGTTAGTGCCTAGAGAGAGGGTTATTTACTATCTTAAATACGGCGCAACTTTGCCCAAGTCTCGCCATAATACTTATAGCCCTTAAGCTGAATGCAACGCGACTATTGCAATCAGCTGATATCACTGCATTTCGGCCCACCAAAGATATGTGGCGTAAACCTGTCTTCGAATAACGGACAAACAATTTGACAAAAAGGTTACTAAAAGAGATGCGGGCCTATATTAGCAAGACTTTTACCGTATTGAAATAAATCTACATTATGAAATGATCTTTGAGACATGTGGGTTGTGCCCATTTAGTCCAGACAAAGTGGATTAAACAAAGTATCCGGTGCCCTCGAAATCACAGCAAGCCATTTTAAATGATCACCGTTCCTTGCCATTACGCCGAATTAGCTAATATTTTAAGAATAACGACTAATAACGACAGAATCAGAAATACCTGTATCAAATTTTCCTTGTATCCTTTCACTTAATAATGGTTTATCAGTACCAGAGCGTATACAACCTGCAGAGATTATTGTTGAGTATCAGAAAGAAAACTAACCCTTAAGTTTTCATCATCTAGGCAGCAAATTTAGAATTTGTTAGAGGTGAATCGGTGATTGTGGACATCTAAATAAACTAAAATCTTTTAGAAAGCCCTAAAAATATTTATAGAGTTTTTTCCATTGCCAAATACGTATCAAAAAGCAAAAAGCGGGTAAACAACGCCGTTATTTTGTGCTAACAAGTGAAGATTCGGAAGCAGCGGAGCTAAAAAAATAATGAAAAAATGGGGCACAAATGGAAAATGCAGAATTGAATTAGCCAAATATAGAAACAAATTGACAAACAAAACAAGAAGAACGAAGCCAAAAACTCTGACATTATAATACTCTCTAAATGTTTAATCTAAAATACTGAAATAAAGTTCTATTTCTACAAAATATCGAGAAAATACGAAAGGTTTTACTAAAAAAGTTACATCAAAAATGTATATGAAGAAAGAAAAAAACATAGTAGACAAACGAAACCGCTTTCAGATGAAGATCTAAGGAAAATTTTTGAAGAAGATTTGTTTAAAATAAGCATTATAACAATAAGATGGAGCTTAGAAAGATCTGGGTATAACTTTTTAAGACTTCCAATGGTGCCAATGATTATACTTAATTTACAGTGCCATTCACTATGCTAAAGTACCAATGATTGTAACATTCCCTAGAAAAAAGTTTAATTAGATTTTTAACTTAATTAAACGTTTCTTTTTAAACGTAATGCGTTATTTTATTTATGGCTATCTAAATAAAACAATAAAAAATATAACAAATTTGTTTATTTACGAGGATTAACCACTTACAAGTAGAAATCCGCTTAAAGTGCCAATCATTATACTACTTACACTATATGCAACAAATTTCAAAGCGAGTTAGACGCGGGTGCTGATGCGCGTGGCGTGCGCGTAGCGAGTGCGTGTCGTGGGAATGCGCCCTAAAAGTTCCATGTGTCCTATTCCACGATTTAATGTAATTCTTAACAAATTTACAAGCTGTTCGTGTGGGCATGATTGATGGACTTGTTAAAAGCTTACTTTCACCTTTATAATATAAGGTATATAATAACATAACAAACGAACAGTAGTGCAATTTCCATTCATTTTAATATATTATTTGGATTATTACTATGAGATCTAATTACATTGTAATGTACAAGTCCGAAAGTCGAAAATTAACAATTTCTGATTTTGCATAAATGTTGACTTCATTTGGATGAGAACTGTGGACCTGCGGAATAGTGGATATGTGTACCTAAATGACTCTGAACTTTAGGCCAGGTGTTTCGTCACTGGCAAGTAACTAAAGCACCTCTACAATATTGGTACCTTTGTTGTTTTATAGATATAAAGAAAAAATTGGACTTCTCAAGAAGCAGCCCGTCGGCCGTGGTCCAGAATTAAGGGAAATTCTGACCGCCCTCACTACGATCAATTCGCACGATACCTTTAATTTGGAACGAGTGGAGACCTTAGGGGATTCGTTCCTTAAGTTTGCCGCAAGCTTATATCTGTACCACAAGTTCCCTCAGTTGAACGAAGGCCAGCTTACGAACATTAAATCCCGCCTTATTGGAAACAGGCAAGTTTTGTGAAGTTCGCTTAAATAACTTCCATCACTGTTACAAACTGGACATACTGTTTTAAATTAACGAGTGCCCAATGTGATATATAACAAAGTAAAAACAGTCTTTTAAAGTTGACTCGCATCGAGTCATTAGCGCCATTTTTTTTTTCAGAGCGAACTAATTGTAGTGGATTGTATGTGTTAGGGTGATTACTGCTAGGGACGTTATTAAAGAAAAGGTGGTACACGTTACAATTATATATTAAACTATTTACAATGGCGGCAATTACTAATTAATGTCTACACAAGAAGGGATATTTTCTTTGGCGTCTTGAGTCTTCTTTCTTGATAGTCTTTGCCGCTTTCGAATTGAATACGTCGATGCGGCCAGATGCCCCTTCTTTTATTCCCGCGGCGGGGGTTCCGTCTTCGGTTTGTTCCCACGCGGTGTCGCTGTGCGCTCATTGGCTGCAGGCATCACGTGATGTCCGAGCGGTGTTTGGGGTGTGCGGGGCGTAACGGGGTATGAGGGGGTGACGGGGCGGCGGCTCTCTTCGCCGTCCGTAACACTAATGTTTTAGATCAATATATTTTGATAACACATAAATACTCACGTTAGAAGTAATGGATATGTAGGAAGGGTAATTGAGTACAGTACAGAGACTGATTTTATAGTTAGGAATAATAATTAATTCGTTTACACGAATTAATTATCCAACGAGTCGAGGATAAACTAGTAACGGAATACGACAAGCGCACCGTTCCACCTCAGGGCCAAGACTGCCCTAACGGCGGCCGCTCTATCCGTTTTATACAAGCAAAACGCGCGCCATCGCAGGTGCAATAGCGCAGGTGTGCAGAGCACGTGTTATTTACAAGAATTCTGTCTAGCTACACAGACGTCGTCGCACGTGCAATGGTGCACGTGCCGTCAGATACATATTTTTTTAGGTTTATTTATTTGTATATAAAGCTAAATCAAACGTTAAAATACAGCTCTCTCGCATGCAACGCAATTTCGAGGTTTGTTCATGTACCATCATTAGGCAATCAGTAATAAAATGGCGAAATCTTTTCAGCGCATTTATAGCTAAACATCTTCATCTCCAAAACGCTTCCTCTTTTTCTAAATATCTTTTACTGTCTTAAATAATAGGTCTCAATTTGGTCAAATTTCCCTGTTTTCACCTCATAAAAACTATTTGGTTCAAAAAATTTGGTAAATAGATAATTATAGCATAAATACTTTGAGTAAGTATTTATGCTGTAATTATTATTTTCTCGTGTTCAATTAGACAAATATAAAAAAAAATTAAACTACCTTACTTCAAAATTAATAATTATTTTGATCGACCTATAAAATAATGAGTTTGTAGACAGTAATTGCGGGGAATATTCCTTAGTAGTCATAGAGCGGCCGTAGCGTTCAGACCAGCGGACAAATTTGGCACAGACAAGAGTCTGTGCCAAATTTGTCCTCTCCCCCACAGGTTGCCTGATATGAAGGATATTTAGTATATTTGTCACGTTTGGCGTACGGGTTAGCAACCGCAAACTTTTTTTTAGCTGTTCATGCTCATCAGGAAGATGCGGCTATCCATTTCTTTTCCCTCTGTCTCCTTTTACGACACCCACGGGATGATTTGAGGTAGTGTCCTATAATTTTTTATCGATTTTTCAGTTGTCACTTATCTCACGAGTAGCCGACCGCTTTATCAGACTATAGCAACGCTAACTTCTGGTTAAACAAAAATATTGCATAAACAAACCTTTAGTGCAGAACAAAATATTTCCAATTACAATATTTAAGGTTTGAGGTGATGTTTACCTAGCGAATGGGCGGTTTTCAATTTACCGGCACGGCACCGGCACGATGACAGTGCCGTGGCTTCGTTTTTCCACTGCGCTGGTGCTGGTGCCGGTCTACGCTCGGTTTTCGGGCAGTACTAACACAGACTTCAGTTCTACAGCACGTAAAAATGGTCTCGTCAAGTCCTTGTATTTGTTTGTTATATCTCTTACAATTAAGACTAAAATATAATCAACGCAGAGGAGTCAAATTTTAAATTAATCCGATCTTAAAAATAAAATACTTAGAAGGAACATATTATACCCTATTTTAAAAGTTGGAAATAGACTCTAAACATATTTCAACTACTTCCATGAATGAATGAGGAGACATTTCATCATTTCACAAGTCAATTTCGAGTCTCAATCTCAACGCGTCCCCTCTACTTCGGCGCGTGCACACGCACACGCGCATACGCGCACACGGCTGCAATACGCACACAATACACATGCTGTGTTGCCGGCACCGAGTGGGAAGCTTGCTCTCACGGCTCCGGCGATGGCACCGTAAGTGGAAAAACATGTTATATATTTTATACATTTTGCTTCCCCGGCAGCCGTGCCGTTGCCGTCGCCGTCGCCGCCGTGCCGGTAAATGGAAACTAGTTTGTTTCCGTATTATTTTTGATTATAATTCAATATATAACCGCAAATATATCGAGGAAAACAGAGTTTGGTAGAAGAAAATATTTAAAAAAAAACAGAAATTAAAAATAATGATGGGGATTAGAAGCATTTCGTCATAATACTCAAAAATGACAACACCTCTGAGGCCATGTCGTTTTGAATTGGAATATTATTAAATGACAGTTTCCTGTTCCTAAATTTGATCGAAACAAATAAGTAGTTTTGACAACAACAAACATTTTCTTTTTATTCAAAAAACATTTCGTTCTCTGCTGCAATCCGTGTTATTGAAGTCGGAAGTGTATGTAAAAACTATTAGTATTCGTTGTCAGATTATTATTACGAAATAAAAAGGAAATGAACTTTAACAAGACTACAAGTACTAGTAGTTTGGGAATAGTAATAATATTTACATGCATCTTCTTCTTCTTTTATTCTTCTTTTAAAATCTAGTCTTCTTTTATCATTTAGTACTAATCTACTTTTATCATCTAGTACTTAATACAACAAATATCCAATTGTATGTCGTAAATAATATCGACAGTAGCTTAATAGTTAAAGGTGCGGACTACAAACTCTTTAAAGTCGTGGGTTCGAATCCACTATTCGACTACCAACTTTTATTTGTTAACAGGAATCTTTACTATGCTGGTGAAAAAGCGCGATTGGCCGGTCGCATGAAGGTTGAGCAGTTTAGTCCAAAAACAGATTTCGTCGTACCAGGTTTCTTTGCGCCAGAAGCAGTGAAGAATTTTATTGAAAATGCTCAAGTAAGTGCAATATTATTCGTATTATTATTAAATATATGTCACGTGGGTGTCGTAAAAGGTGACAGAACGAAAACCAACCAGGAAGTGGGGGCAGCAGCGTTTTTCTATTAACTATTAGAAAACTGCGATTGCCAACCCACCTGCCAAAAGTAAGTGGTGGTAGTATAACTTCACTGTACAGAATTGAAAAAATACTATCCAATAATTACGTCATAGAGATGACTACAATAGACACTACAACTACGAATGAGGGCTAATAATTTTATTTATGCTCACCAGATGTCGCTAGTTGCCACCGAGGTAAAGTTTTTTTGTTACACAATGTAATTTAATTGTTTTTTAATAACATTTTATCAGTTTCTAGAGTATTATATTAATACACAAAGCAATGCGTCAGTGGTTTGCTCTTTAATTTTTAGCACATTTTTAACTTTTTTTTTTAAATTTTTCTACTGTTATAATTCATAACTTATGAATGTCTGTGGTTTGGTTTATTTATTTTTAATGTTATTAATATAAAACATAGTTAATAGTACAAAAAGAAACAATAACTTTTATATTTTCAGAACAAATTAACTTCCCCACTATGAAATCTTTCAAATATTATACCTCACTTTCTAGTCTTTCTAGCGCCGCCCCGGTGGCAGAAAAAGTCGTGGATGCCCTCATTAGTAGAATCAGGCGTTACTTTGCGGAAATCCATTATATTAAAGCTTTTAAAAAGTTACTTCGCAAACATCCGCTCGATATCGCTCATTTATCGAGCGCATGTTTGCGAAGTAACTTTAAAAGCTTTAAATTTTTATATATTAGGTACTAGATATTTAAGTGAATTTCAAAAGCAACAATACTATAAAAAGTAAGTGCTTATTGTGTCGGAACCATAGAACAGATCCGCCGCAGGGTCTACCTAGTGCTAGTTTTTTCTCTATCTGACCTCGCCACAACGAATTCCTGTCGTATCTGTCCGATAAGTATGTGGAGATAAAATCCGTTTAGAAATTTTGTTTAAGTTTTGGGATATTTGAAAAACGGTAGGCCGTCGCCGTCTGTTAGCGACGTAAAAACTACCATCTCATTTTGTCACGTGGATGTCGTTAGAGGCAACTATCGGAGATGTCATAGTCTAATGTCCTGTAATAAATTGCGCTATCACATAGCAAATCATCATTAAAGAATTAAGCCTATAGGTTATGGGACAGTTGACGAGCCGGTGAAATAGACAGTAAGAGAAAAACAGAGTTTCTTATATAATTATAATTTAAACTGTCGTTTATTTTTACAATTTAACTTACTCAAAATATAGTTTATGAGATACAACAGAACCCAGACACTTGTTTATTTTGTATATAAGTTTAAAATGTTCATCTATCACATGTCTAGTTAATGTTCAAGTCGTTACTTATAAATTAAAGCAAGTTTATGTACAACTAAATCTGTAGAAAATTAGTTTAACGTTAAACAACTAATGGAATAATAATGAACTTTAAAGAGATCTCTTCAAGCTATCGCAGTACTTAAATATATATTATATTTTGTTTATCGCTAATAATATACGTGGCATTTTTTCCCTAAAACTTCGCCGCTCCTAATTGCATATTTATTTTAGTATGAAAACGATTAACTTCTAATAACTTAATACATTATAACGCAAATACAATTGTGAGAATAGAAAAGAATGCGGCTAACATTTCTATAAAAGAAATGTTATCCGCATTCTTATTAAACAATTTTTATTTATTTACACCGGCACGATCTACTGAAGTTCAGAACCGTTAACTTATAGGAAATCGCATTAAAATTGAAGATGTCAAGGTCTTCTAGTAGTTGTACTTATTCGATGTTTTTATTAATTGTTTGGTGGATTTTAATAAATTTTGAAACCGAAGCGAAAATGTCATCAACTAATTCACGTGGAGTATGCAAAGCGGCAAAATGACCACCGAAATCCACTGTAGTTGAACGGATTAAGTTGGGGAATTTATCTCGGAGCACCCAATCCGGCTGGTATAGAACTTCGTGTAAGAAGTTGATAGCAGCTGTAGGAACTTTAGTTGGAATACTGAAAAGAAAAGGTTTCATTTAAATTATAGGACAGTAAATGGCAATTTATTAAATAAAAGTTGTACCTAGTTTTACAAGGAACAATGACAGACATCATTGTCAATTGAGAAATGGTTACTTAGGTAATTGGTACTTTCAACGAATATAAATTTTTGTGTGACGCTTATGTGCATACATACATACTATTAACTTGTTATAAAATGGTCCCATAGAAAATCGCAAGTATGCTAAATGCGTTATAAATTATTGTATAGAGTAAGATCTTATTGAATGGTAGATTGATAGACTCGGGTATGTCCAGCTCACATATAGATCTTTGCTTACGGCGACGTCGTGTCCTGCACTCATCTGTCATCCACTTCCCTTTATAATGGATATCCGGACAGAGGAATGTCCTTTAAAACGGTAGTAGATTAAAAACATGTCGACGTTTAATAAACTAAATTTTTATTTCTTACGTTTAAGAATAAAGAGATTTCATTTCATTTCAGTATAGTAAGTGTATTATACCGACGCACACGTGTCTCGTTTCTGAAAGGGCAAATAATTAACATATCCTCGTAATACTTTTTATATCTTAGATAGCAGGTTCCTTGGGTGACGTAATTTTCACCATTGGCCTATTGCAAGCTAATGTAAGTGAAAATATTGGACCTCCAAATAATAGTCAAAAAAACCTCCACTTTAGCGTGAGACTGCCTTACTATTGTGTTGCATTTTAAATTTATGAAGCCCAACCAAAGTTTGTGAAAAATATCGCTATATGGTTGGGTTTGTTGCAATGTGTGTTTCCCTCACACTATTTCCCAATTTCTAAGAGTATAATAGAAATTAATAGGTTGGCCAGAGTACAAGTAAGTACCTTAACGTTTATACGTCCACTAGTATTATCTTATGGGTGGCACACACGCTACGAGAAATCGTTACGATTGCATTCTACCGTTTAAACTGCACCGATAATCGAAACGTGTGTGTCATAAAACTACATTTTTACGAGTTTTTAAAACGGTACCGTCGAACGTAGTAGTATGAAAATTTGAATATATAAAACGGAATCGGAGGAAACATTGACGCTAATCGTAACGTGTGTGCCAAGCGCTCAGTTTTCGCCATTTCTCTATACAGTGTCTTGCTTTTCGATTATTGGCGTTACCATACACAGCAAAAAAAGTAGGTATCTTAATAAAATTATTCCATTCTCTTGGAAACGCCTTTAATTCCTTTAACAAATTTACATGAGGATGAGCTTCTTTTTTCATTAGCCAATATTTATACCAGGTCCTACGATATATCCGCTTCCTGATTTTTTTCTGCCTCTTGTTTTTTTTTTGTTCAGTTATAATGTAACAATAGCTAATGCGGCATCTGTCGATGCCATCGCGGAGCGAAATGAATAAACTGCACAGTTTTACTTGAACGTGTGTGGGCTATAGGGACGAACGATTATCTGTACCTACAGTTCAACTAGGTTGTATGGCCCCATTAAGGCTGCGCTTCCACCAGAGATGTGCTAGGCAGCTGAGCGGTGCGAGGATGCGTAGTGACGCTGTGGAACAGTGCGCAGATGAGCGGTGCGAGGATGTGTAGAGGGCTCGTTTCAGATGCGAGCGGGGTGAGGTGTGGTGGGACTGCTCGCTGCTTCTTGCGTCCTTCCCTTCACATCCCTCGCATACATTCCTCGCAACACATCCCTCGCACACATCTTCCCTTGTTTTATATATAAAAAAAAACCTCGCCCCGCTGAGCCGTTTCCACCAGAGCTGCGCTGAGCTAGGCTAGGTAAATGAAGTGATTCTATTGGTTCTTAACAAACATCCCTAGCTACGCATCCCCGCACATCTCTGGTGGAAACGCAGCCTAATAGTAGTTTAAAATTATCAGTTAATTTCGAAACTTTGCGCTATAATTCAGAAAAAAGGCAATGATGTCTGTTAAGCTATGAATAAAGTACTCACTTGTGAACTATATTAACTTCTGTTCCCGTGAAAGCCTCGGCGTAGATTCTCATCGACGTGACGATGCAGTTGTTTGCCCATAATATAGTAACTGTGTCCAACACGTCGTCCAGTTCTAAGTTCTCAATACCTCCGTGAATGGTGTTAATTTGGTCTTTATTGCTGCATACGCCCATTTTTTCCATAACATAAGCCGCCATACCTACTGGAGAGTCAGTTAATGCTACGCCTAGAAAGAAGCGTTGTACTAAATATGAAACTTTATTTATTATATAATATAGTGTATGTAGGGCTGTAGTAGCTCAGGGGTTAAGCGCTTGCTGTGAATTGCTCAGCACTTGAGCATCTATGTATCAGTGAAATTGTTGATTGCAATTTTAAGTGCTGATTTCAACAAGTATGGTGGTGAAGAAAACATATGAGAAAACTTACACGTCTGGGAAACTAAAAAAAAATATTTAGAAAACATATGAAGTCCGCCAACATACATTGGAGCAGCGCGGTGGATACCCCCTTGCTTTAAAACCCTCTCAGAAATAAAAGGAGATCTGCACTAGGAAGTGGAGCGTTAGAGTTATTTTTTCGAACTTACGAAGATGCCGATCAGTTTGGTGCTATTCATGCTGCAGCATATTACGGCTGTAGCACCAAAGGGTCGGCTTTACAGGGAAGGACCACGCTCTCACATTATATAAATGTGCAGTTACAGCAGATTCTCCTGTGGTTCGTATAACTAGCGACGAGAATCGAAGGTGCCTTTGTTTAGTAACAAGCCATTCATCTCAGTTCTCAGAGGCAAAGTAAACGCATCTGAATTTTGCCCCTTAATCAAGGATAAATGTATTGGAGTTGTTGCTTTAATAAAATCGTCGCTTTATGTAAAAATATTATTTAAAATAACACATACGTATTTTGTAGGATAAGGGTGACAAAACGAGCACACAGTCCACCTGATGGTAAGTAGTTGCTGTGGCCCATAGA